CGTCGATCTTCACATGAGACGAACTAAAGTAATAAATTATAAATTTCTATGACGATGTATATTTAGCCTCGTTCGTGAGAAGATTTATCAAAATTGTTTTTTGTTTGATTCAGTTAATTGGTTCTACGGGTCCTAAGTTCGACGTCTGACCCAACAGACGATCTTAACTTAATTTAGGTCCACCCAAATTAGACTTTGATTCGTCTCATGAAGAGTTCGAAGTTTGGCCTAGGCCTAATACAAACATTGTTTCTTGGTGAGTCATTTGACGTAAATATGGAAGTGGGAATAAATATTAAAGTTTGCGGAGTCTGCGAGAAGTGTGATAACTGCATCGTTCAGTAGTTATATTCAGTGATATAGTAGTTATATTCTGTTTTGACACTGTCATCTCTTTTAGTCATGAAAACTCTTTCTGGGAACGTTTTTCAAATGACATATTCCGTCCTCGTTAAATCTAACTTTATAATGATTGCAGCGTTCTGAGGTGAATCAGACACAAAAAAATCCCTAATATAGAAAAACTATCAAATTAGGCATATTTACAATAAAACAAGTTTTTCACATTATAAAATTGGAAATAAAAGTAAAATTTACGAATATGCTTCTTAACTAAAAACTAAAAAGGTACTTAAAAGGAATTTTCAGCAAAAATCAAACGAAATTGTCAAGACATTCAATGACATCAAATACTCATAGACGAAATGACAAATCGGAATATCAGGAGTGTGCGTGTGAAATGGATAAGAGTTTGAAGAGAGGAATGTGTATCAAGTTTGAGAGTCGAAAGATTTGTATAGCTGGTAACCAGTGTGACAAAAGTGATTTGGATATTCACAATGGGGAAGACGAGAGGCTGCCTGTGTTCATGTAAATGTGTTCCAATAAAGGACGAGACGATTGTCAACAATTGCTGGTTTGCACGTGACGTCACGGCGGCCATGTTGGTGGTCAAGAACAAAAGCATTTCTCTCCTCTGGGAACTAAACTCTATTTTCATGTAAATTTTTCGAGGAAATATTCTTTTGTTTTGACCCCCAACATGGCCGCCTTGTCACGTGGTTGCAAACCAAGAATTGAAACCAAAAGGGAGTCACGCTTCTTTTGTAACTACTGTGATAGCTGTAACAATTCTTCTTATGCTTTCAATTTTGTTTAGCAGAGTGACTGTTAATGTCCTTGTTGTATTGCACGTTGTGTTTTATATAACGCGGTACATGTAAGGTGCTCGGTGGCAGGATTTTGCGTTATCAGCAAGTTTTGTTTCAGAATTAGAGTGTTTTGATGGCAGTGAGGTGACAGGAAAAGGCAATGACTCAATTGTACAGAATCAAAATTGTGTCGTAGAGGAAGTAAAAGAACTTGAATTTATTTATATCTCGTCGTGCATGGGAAATTTATTTATTACAGAACTTAAAATTCCATTGGTTTAAATAAGGTTAGTCAGTTCTCTCGATGCGGTCGAGCAAATAGCAGATTACCGATGAAGAAAATAAAATCTTTGTTACAGAAAACACAGAAAGTGAAAGTTTTTGCATGGAAGGGTATTCGGAAAAATACACCATTGTCGTCTGAAATTCATTGTTATAAACAGGTACAGAAGTAACTGTAACAGTGTGAGGTTTTTACTTAAAGGGCCACTCCAAAATTAGTTCGTAAACGAGGGAAGGTGTATCTGTCGTCTAAGTTGAATTGCCGGGTTAATTTTGGCCTTGTACTGATATCGAGAAGAATCCAGGACCATCAGTTTATGTAGGTGCTACAAAAACAATTCATGCTCTATACTGCAAGGAAACGTTTCAGTATTTAGGGAAAATGCAGGACAACAATGTGTTGCAATGAGTCTGTGCGCTTTACTTTACAGTAAGATAAGAAGGGTTACTTCTGTTGATATGATTCAAATAGTGATTGTTGGTAATCAGATATATTCTAGTCTGTCACTGCTTGCAAGACAATTTGTGTTAATGTTAACAGAATTGCCAGGAATGGTTACAGTGTTTTAGCGATTTTTCCAGCTTGAATACAGTGAGAGTTATACTTGTAACATGATGCCAGAATTGAGGGGTATCACTACCACTGGGTACAGCATTTGAAACACTCTTGGCTCTGAACTACAACTCACTCATTTTAACGACGGGAATTATTGGTGTTGTTATCTTACAGCATTGAGGGTGGTGGATACAGAGCATTTGATTCTCGTGCTAGAGATATGTATGGTAACAGTCATAGTGAAAGGACATGTGTATTGTTGGAAATTAAATCCATGCATAAATTAGTACAATATTAATTTTCAGAGTCTATATGGGAATGAGGATATATATGAGCTTAAAGGTGTACATATTGCCACCTTTGAAGTTGATCTTTTCTTAAGCAGTGTTGAATATTGTAGTATATCAAATGTTGATAGTTACCAATGTTCCTGTAAACAGTGCTGCGCTGTAGCAGTTGATGCAATGTGTTACTCTGTTATAAATCCTTGTGGATACTGGACTTCAGGAACTTTATCTGCCCTTATTAGTAACCGGAATACATTGTACAATGTGATGGGTGTGAAAAGGCATATTATGCCAGTCAATCTTCCACGAAGTGTCAGTATCAGTGGAGCTCAGATAAACCTCACTCTCCGGGCTTTAAGCACTGGTGTCCTATGTTGCAATTTGGCTGAAAGCAAGTCTGTGTTGAAGATGTGCTTTTCAAAACATTGTCATGAAGTGACAGGATTTTTGTTGTGGATTGGAGCATACTGTATAAGTTGTGTGGTTCAGCAAAGAAGTAGAATAAAGGATTTATTTTCTCTGGTGGAATATGATGACTGTTGTTTAGCTGCAATAAGGCATGTTAAAAGTATCATACGCGTAATACAACCACGCCCAAATATACGCTCCCACAGCGTCTTTTGACCACTATGAGATGAAGCCGCTTTTCCAAAGCTTATCATTTTTTTAAAATATTAGCTAATTAAGTGGATAGCATGCTATTTCACTTTTTTATAATTCTTAAAGCTTCGTTTCAAAATATTTCCTAAACGCTCTCATAGAATTTGTTCAAACTTTGCCATAATTGAGGCAATTATGGCAGGTACATACTCCCTTAAGCGATTTCTTATTAAAAAAATCCTGGTACAGAGAAACACAAAGATAAGTTTAAAAGGTAATGGCGTCATTACGTTGCCATGGCGACTCCGATTGTAATAAAACCCAGACAATAAGAAATTTCCATCTTTATATAATAGAGTTGTGGTAACCTTTTTAACACATCTTTACTTTTGCCGACGTAGTTAATGCTCAAACTTGGGAGGTGTCCCCCCTAAAAAATCCAGTCAAGCCATCTTAAGTTCAGGAATAGTTCGACGTCTGGCTCAGTTAAGTTCGTCGGAATGAGTTTGGATCGTCGAACACGTTCTATCCGTCTGCTTCAGACGCATAGAACGTCGTAAGATTGTCTCCGGGACAAACTTCTATCTTCATATGCGACGATGAACTATTAATTGTAAAATTAAAAATTTGTATGATGCATATTTAGCCTCGTTCGTGAGAATATTGATCAAAATTGCTTTTTTCTCTGATTCAGTTGACTGGTTCGAGGGTCCTAAGTTCGACGTCTGACCAACATACTATCTTAACTTAATTTAGGTCGGCCCAAAGGTGTAAACAAATTAGAGTTTGGTTCGTCTAATGAAAAGTTTGACGTTTGGCCTGGGCCTAATACAAACATTGTTTCTTTGGTGAGTCATTTGGTATAAATATTGAAGTGGAAAGCGAAATATTAAAGTTTGCAGAGTCTGCGAGAAGTGTGATAACTACATCGTTCGGTAGTTATATTCAATAATCTAGTAGTTATATTCTCACATACTGTCATAATGAAAACGATTTCAGGGAGCGTTTTTTCAAAGACATATTCCGCCCACGTTCAATCAAACTTAATGTTTGCAGCGTTCTGAGATGAATCAAACAAAAAACCCTAATGAACAAAAACTGTTAAATGAAGTATATTTACGATAAATCAAGCTTTTCACGATATAAAATTGGAAATAAGACTAAAATTTACGAATATGCTTCCCAAATAATGAATTAAAATACTTTGTAAAAACTAACAAAGGACTTTCATCAAAAATCACAATATAAAGCGATTTAAACTGTCGGTCTAAAAACGAAATGTAACTAGCATTCAGGCTAGATTAACCATGAAATTTGGTTTAAAAAAATCTCTGAATTGGCTTAAAATCATTTTAAAAGTCCCTCACATTGCGAAAGGTGGCTCCTGATCCCCTAACGCACACGTGGACGTCAGACCTTACAATGTCAAAACAGTGGTTCCCCGTCCTTAAAACGCGATAACTTGCCAGCTAGGTTTTTCAATAGTAACTGACGTTCGGTTCCCATTCCTCAGTTCGTACCAAAAACGCGAAGAGTAATAGTCCCCATTCGCCATCAAATAAACCCGATTAAATAGAGTTGCAAATAATAGGGCATTTCCAAGTTCTGAAAACCCGTTTAAAAGAAAGCGAAATTGACCATTAGTCAGATTTACAATTAGTACGTTATGTTGACGATAACATTACATTTTATATCTTTTCTGCACTTAAGACTTTGCTAATATCAAGGAAATCCTGACACTAGGGGAAAATTATAATTTTTCAAGTTCTCGGCATTTCTGACTCAGCGACGATGTAACATTTTCTAAGCAAATTTTATCAACAATTTAGCCGGTGTGACATATTTAGTAAAATACTTGACAGCTGCATGAGTTTGATGCATTTACTAAGAAAACAAAGACTGAAGAAGTACTTATTAATTGCACACTATTATAAAGTAACATTCTCGTCAGTCGTAAAAGAACAAATCAGAGAGACAGCTGCTTCAGAAAGTTTCATTTCAATCATGGAGATCCTCTCTGATTCCAATTTAACAAACACAACCAACAACATTGTGCGCAATTCTACCATGGAAAACAAGACAGAAGGAAGCGTTCAACTTGAGTTTATTTTCACCGTTGGAGCCATAATTATCAACAGCATCTCTTGTCCCTTTACGGTGTTGCTGAACGTATTGGTCATAATGGCGGTAAAGAAGCGTCCAAGCCTACAGAGCAACACAAACATCCTGCTTTCTTGTTTAGCGGTAACTGATCTGTTGACTGGTTTAATAGTGCAACCATCGTTCGTCGCTTGGAAAAGCTTTTACGTTCTAAAAAACGTCAACGTTACTGCATTCGTGGAGGTTCAGAACTACTTTTTACGCTTTCTTACAATTAGTTCATCTCTTCATTTGATGTTAGCAACTTGCGAGAGGTTGCTAGCCGTTAAATATACAAACTATTATTCATACATAGTCAGAAAGCGAAACATTAAGGTATCGGTTCTTGCAGTTTGGTCCTTTTCATTTATAATTGGAGTATTAAGTTTCGTAAAATCCGACATTTCAAAATATTCAATGAAAACTTTGCATTTCTTTGCGCTGTCTTTCAGTATTATGTTTATTGTTGTAACTTACATTATTTTGTATCGCGAAACTCTTCGCCATCGAAAAAGGATCAGAACTCAACAGCTTCCACAAACTGAAATTGAAAGATTCGTAAAAGAAAACAAAGCGCTGAAGACAACTGTACTTGTGGTTGGTGCCGTCCTGTTATGTTTCTTACCCATGACTGTATATCAGCTCTTAACAACAGTATTATCCAAGCAAAATCAACTCCTCCTTTTTGCTTCTGGAGAAATGAGGGAAATTCTTAATATCGTGATTCGAACGCCTGGCATGTTAAACTCTCTTGTGAATCCACTGATTTACTGTATGCGCCAGAAAGAAATGAGAAAGTTTGTATTTAGTTTGCGGTTTTCCCACGCCATTAACCCTGTAAACTAAGACAACAAGTAGTTTGTCTGTGTGTAAATTGATACGAACTGTGAAAAATAAATGTTAAGGTTTGCATAACAGAGCAGAGATTTTGGCATATTAAACCACATGGTTCAAAAATTATACTGAACCATTCTGGTTACCGCCATAATGAAAACTATCTCCATCAGAGCATTTTGTCAATGACATATTCCATTTTCGCTAAATCTAACGTATCCTTGGCTCGGAGACCCAGGGGAAGATACGGTGGATCTTCCTTAAAGACAGAAATACTGACCCTAGAAATCAGTAACCTACTAAAGAGACCTAGAACTTCGCAAAGTGGTGTAGTGGAGGATTTGATGATGTATATACCAGGAACCAGGTTATTTCAGATTTCGGCTTCTGTGTATACGTAGAATGGAAGAATTCTTCTACTGTAATCCACCTTCATGCATAGTGGTTTTTTTTTGCTGTAAACATGCGACTTTTTTCGCTTGCTGTGAGAGTTTTTTCCCTCAAAAGGTAAAGAGATGCAGAAGGCTCCTAAAGTTAAGTAGGGATTTGAAACTTACAGTTTATTAGTTTAAATTTAATTGTTTTTATTATAAGTATTAAAACGGAGGCATCGCTTTTAGCCCTGGCTAAATCTATATTAAACATTACACAGCTATAGACACTTCGTCCTTACAGAGTCATGAACCTGGTCTGTCCGGACAGGTCTTCCCAGTTCCTAGTCTTGACGATCATTCATTTTGCTTAGCACTATTTCAAATGCCTTTAATGGCAATTATCCCAACTGCTCAATTTATCTTTTGTCAAACGCCCGGGGAATTCTCGTGGAATCGAAATTTTACGGACCCCAAGCAAGTTTAGACTGAAAAACAGAGAGTAAATTTTACATGCATCCTCCATGAAACGTTGTCATATTAGCGCAGTCATGCCGTGACAGAAAAGAAAATATACCCAGAAAGTGCGATAGACGCACTCAGAGTCTTCGTTTTTCTTTTTAATTTGTTTAAACGTTATTAAAACTGTATCGGTTTGATTATTTTGGCTATTTACATCTGACTGGATTTGTTAAAACGTGGCTAAAGAAATTTCAAGTTCATTTTAACTATTTGACATCTAAGTGGAATGGGAAGTAGTTAAAAGTCACAAGCTGAAGCTAAACAATGACAGCATTATTGCTGGCAATAGACGGTAAAGTTCTCTCGCAGAAGTAACACGGCAGGTACAAAACACAGGTCACAGGTCACAGGTCAGGTCACAGGGCACAGGGCACAGGTCACAGGTCACAGGGCACAGGGCACAGGGCACAGGGCACAGGTTACAGGGCACAGGTTACAGGGCACAGGGCACAGGGCACAGGGCACAGGTCATAGGGCACAGAAAACGCAGTAAAAACAGTTAAGACACTCCATTAGGCTTTTTTGTTTTATTTCCGGTTACGCCACAATCAGGCATATGCTTGCCATCGACCATGCTTTCCGGTTTTGTACTGAGAGTATAAAAAACTTTCAAATTATGCAAACGGTCTTGGTCTAAAAGGTGTCACTATATCGTAACTACGGCTAGAATCATACCATGTTTCCATTCCTCAACTTAATGACAATGTACGCAGCAACAAACCGAAATCGGCAATTCACGATTGCAGCACAGTCGATAGTTAGCGAAGTAGACGTGTGTTGATAATTCACTAAGTTATTTTCAGTTCTTCAGTGGAACTGAGGCCAAAATAACTTGTCAGCAAGTGCTGTTTTCTTACCTCGAAACTCTGGTCTTCCGCCATGTTGCTTTCTGCACAGACGAGGCTATTTTCCGTTCCATTCTCCTCTCAGAGCCTCGTTCCAAGTCCGCTCGCGTGGAGCGAAGAAAAAGCCTCGTTTCGAGATCTCCAGAGAAGGAACTCCTCAAGTTCCAATACAATGTGTAACTTTAGCCATTTACTTGTTCAACCCTCAGTACAAAACCGGAAAGCATGGTCGATGGCAAGCATATGCCTGATTGTGGCGTAACCGGAAATAAAACAAAAAAGCCTAATGGAGTGTCTTAACTGTTTTTACTGCGTTTTCTGTGCCCTATGACCTGTGCCCTGTGCCCTGTAACCTGTGCCCTGTGCCCAGTGCCCTGTGCCCTGTGACCTGTGCCCTGTGCCCTGTGACCTGACCTGTGACCTGTGACCTGTGTTTTGTACCTGCCGGAAGTAACAGGATTTTGCGATGAAATAAACAACCCTTGCAACGCCCAGAAATTGTAATCTTTTAGTCAGTCAAACCGTGAGGCCCACAGCTCAGTGTCGGCCGAAAACAGATTAAGAATCCACAATCTTTAAGCACATAATAGGCTTTCTAAGAGAAATCACCTAAACTAAACACTCACGAAGCGTTTTTATGCTTGGCACAAAAGATTCTGGTAACACGAGCTCAACCGCACATACCTGAGATTTGTCTGCCTTGTCTGTCAACACTTTCGGTAAATCACACAATAAATGACTTTCGCGGCAATCCCAACACTTTCGAAAACCACTCATAATACTTCCACACTCAACAGGGCAAAACATCGTCAAATTACTCCGTAAAACTCTCGCTTTCTCCACGTAAATCGTCACATGGAACTTTTCGCGACTCATAGACAGTCGATTTATTCAAAATCCCGCATGTAAACCAGCGGTTGAAAAGGAGACATACAGCCCCCGCCTTCAAACAATTTTTTACTAAGTGTTTGGCCTGGTCAGAAATCAGCATGAATTTCCATCTTGCCGAATAGATTTCAACCCTAGAACTTAGAGATATAAAAAAGTCAATAGGCTATTTGCCCGATAACGATTTTGACAAAAAATTTCCGCAAGCGCTTGTCGGAAGAAAAAAAAATGCATGCAGCACAAATGTAATAGAGAGCTTATGGGAAAAAAAGGGAAAAAAATATCCTGCCCACCATATTGCTAGAAAAAAAAATTCTTGATGACCAGAAATCACCCACCCCCACCCTCAAGAGTTAAATGGTCGGCCCCTAATATGCACAAGAAAGCAAAACCCTGAAGGATTCTGGTAGTAGTAGTAAAATGATGTCATCGGCCAAACGGCCTATCAAACAGAATACAATCTAATCGTTCGTACTTGCGCTATAGCATCCATAAAACATAAATACCATTGTTATTCATTTAGAATATTTCTCCGCTTCTGATTGGCTCAAATGTCTTCATAACCAGCTAGCATTGTTCAAATTTGGACGACGATGCGATATTCGATGAAAATGACATCAAACGGAGCAGGATTACTTAACTGCAGAAAAAGGCATAGCAACGGAGAAGCACTGGAAAAAGGGTTGCTTTAGCTCAGCTGCTTTAGTATTGAGGTAGAAAAAATGGCGGAAAATGTCACTCGTTTTGCTAAGATGATTAGCCGAACTAGACCGAACTACTGCTTAAAAAATATAGCAAGACCAGCAAAAAATAATACAACTCGACGGATGACAACTGCCATTTAAAGAATATCTGCTAGCTGACTCAAGACTCACTACAAACATCCCTTTAAGTCCAGAATTTGCCCCGGCCGTAACAGGCAAATCAAGACAGGTTTTTTACATTGATCGAAGTAAGCAAGTTTATTAAGTATGAATTCTTTAAAATGAATAATAGAACAATTATTGAATCGGTTGATTATCATACGTTTCTGGGAAACTGCCCACCTACCCTTCCCCTAAGCCAACATTTTACGCTAAGTGAGAAGTAAGTGTTAATGTTGGCTTAGGAGAGGGGTAGGTGGGCGGTATAATGATCCGAATCGGTTTTTTCATTATCTGAAGAATAGCCCATTTTACAGTTACAGGTGAAAACGAGGCGGGAGTTGACCTTGTTTTGATACAAACCTTCTTGCTTTATTATGTAAATCAAGTTTTTCGTATGCTAACCGCGAATTTTTTAGAATAATTTCCATAAGAAAAGGAAAGAGGTTTGTATCAAAACAAGGTCACTCTTAGCCTCGCGTCTTCTCAAAGGCTAGGATACTAAGCCCACAACTGCTCGGAAGTTGCACTCAGCGTGATTCAATAATTACGTACTAAGTATTTTTCCTTCCTTGTTCATAATATAACCCTAGCCTCCCACGTAGACAATCTTTTGGCTCGAAACACACATCCTCCCCGGCTAAGAACGTTTGCGTGGGAGGCTATTTAATAATTTTTCCTTGAGCCCTCATGGGCTATGAGTCAATAGCCCATGAGGGCGAAGGCGAGAGGAAAAATTGTTTTAGTAAAATCCAACTAGTTGGTAAAAAATATCGAGACAAAACAACTTTAGCTACCTAGAGCTAGACTTTAATCATTTTTTGCCTACCAAATTGTCGGCGCTTTTCGCTACCAGTGGGCTATAATATATAGCCTAGTAGTAGCTCAACCAATCAGAACGCCTGGCAACATGATAATAGACCACTAGCTAAATTTTACTAATATCAAATATATCGTATCTGTAACAATTTATTGGTATGCTAATGCTTTTCCCTCTGACCGAAACGTTTTCCCCCGGCTTATAAATTGCGTTGCCTTTTTTCCCTCAGAGCGTTTTTGTTTGTTTATGAAAAATCATACCAATAGATTTTATGCATGATTTATTTTTTTATAACGATGATCAAACGCCTTGAAGTCATAAGCGAGGACGTTTAAAGAATGGATGATCCTTTGCCTCTTAATTTATTTGCAAGAAAGCTTTTGAATTACGAATTATGAAGTCGAACTATCTAAAGCAAACCTAGGGTTAGATGTCCCCCTTAACCATTAGGTTTTTCGTGAATCAATACGCAGGCAAAACGAGGATGCTGCCATCAGTCGTTTTGATCATGTAGACATAAGTTATACCCCGGTATACTTCGAAAAGGCACACGTACGCACGTTTAATGCAAATACAATTTGGACACTAATACAAAACGGCGAATACAGCTGTTAAGTTAATATATATTGAAAAATATTCAATGTTTCCATAAAATGGGCGAGAAAATCGATAAAAAAATGAGTGACTGAGCCCACGTGCTCGGATCAAAAAGACAAGAAAGGTAAAACAATAATTCGAAAACTTAAGGGAATAAAATGAGAAAAGATGCGTAGTCAATATTAATTTATTTCCTAAAAAGAGACAGAAAATGCATAAATTGAGTTGCCGCACCGTCCCGGTGCTGACCAAAACCAACAAAATTTCTTATCATAAGTTCTCACTGTTGATTCAGTGGTCGGCTGAGTTGAAAAAGGTCGTCATAACGTTTCCTGATCAAACTTTGTCACTCATTTTGGTTTCACATTTTCAGAATAACATAGGATCGGATCAAACTGAAGTGGCTGTTCTTCCTAAGAAAGGAAGAGCAAGAATCATTGGTTTATCATCGTCATTAACAATAATTCAGAGAAACAGCTGCTTCAGGAAGTCTCCCGTATAGCCACCCATTCTAATTTCAATTTACAAAATTAATACCACCAACACCATTTTGAATGTTGCCTCCATGGAAAACGAGACACAAAGCGTCCAAGTCAACTATATTTTGACCGTTGGCCACATTATTATCAACGGCATCGCTTGTCCCTTCACCGTTCTGTTAAACGTGTTGGTCATCCTGGTGGTAAAGAGGCGACCAAGCCTACAGAGCAACACAAACATCCTGCTTTCCTGTTTAGCGGTAACTGATTTGTTGACTGGTCTCATAGCGCAACCATCATTCGTTGTTTGGAAAACTTTGAATGTTCTTAAAAACATCAACTTTACTGCAGTCAAAGAGGTTCACAAATATTTTTTTCGTGCTTTTATCATAAGTTCATCACTCCATTTAATGTTAGTAAATTGCGAGAGGCTGTTGGCGATTAAATATACAAACCATTATTTATACATAGCCACAAGGCGAAATATTAAGGTATCGGTCGTTTTATCATGGTTCTTTTCTTTCATCATTAGCGGATTGAGGTATATAAAATATGATATTTCAAGGTATGTAATGAAAACTTTGCATTTTCTTGCGATATCTTTTAGTGTTGTTTTTATTGTAGTAGCTTACATTATTTTGTATCTTGAAACTCTTCGTCACCGAAAGAAAATCAGAACTCAGCAGCTTCCACAACAGGAAATTGAAAGATTCGTTAAAGAAAACAAAGCGCTGAAGACAACTGTACTTGTTGTAGGTGCCGTGGTGCTGTGTTTTCTACCGATGGCCGTGTATCAGCTGTTAACAACATTGTCGTCGAGAGGAAATAAAAAACTTCTTTATGACACCGAACTGGTGGAGCGTCTGACTCTCATGGTTCGCACGGCTGGTATGTTAAACTCTCTTGTAAATCCATTGATTTATTGTATGCGTCAGAAAGAACTGAGAAAGTTTGTATCAAGATTACTTTAAAAGTTTAATGAATACATTTGCACCTGACCGTCGCAATTGGTAATAATCATCGCATTTTGTAATACGTGTGGCAATTTTTTATAAGTCAGTTACACTTTCAGGATTTACCCGTCGCCAGTTTGTAACATGCTGTATCACACTTCGTAATGAAACTAGTTGTTGCAATATAGCTGTCTAAGAGTCGCACTTTGTAATAAACTAAGCTTTTGCAAATTGTAATAATCGCACATTGTAATAAACTTTAGTTATGCTATGAGATTCGCTATCATGACTTTGATGTTTCTCAGGACATGAAATTTTCCATGACATACCGGTTTTTTTGTAGTTTCATTGTCTTAAACTGCAAAAACATAAACTTTTCTGCCTTGCTTGTTCCTTTTTTTTGACGAGATTAACAGAACTCCAGTGCAGGAGCGCTATCCAAGATTATGCTTTAAGGTGGCTCAACTGGATTTTTTAGGGAGTATATTTCCTCACTTTGAGCGTTAAGTACGTCAGCGTAAACGAGGATATCGGTTTAAGATTACCACAGCTGTACTATACAAAGATGAAAATTTTCCATGATGTATGTTTTATTGACATCGGAGTTGCCATGGGAACGTAATGACACCATTACGTTTTTTACTTGCCTTTGAATTTCTCGGTACCAGGTGTTTTTTTTTTTCAGAACTCGCTTAAGGGAGCGTGTACCTCCCCTAATTACCTGGATTATGGCAAAGCTTGAACAAATTATATGACGGCGTTTTGGAAATATTTTGAAACTATGTTTTAAGGGTCATAAAAACAGTTAATAAACATGCTATCGACATAATTGGCTAATACTGTAAAGAAATTGGTTGTTTACCATTCCTGTTGGGATGTAAATGGTAAACGTTTTTTTTTTGGTTCGTTCCACTGGAAAATTCCCGGGACAAACAGAAATTCTGAAAAGGTAGTCCCGTTTTTCCTGTTGGGACGTTCCGAATGGAAATTCGTTATTTACCATTTACAAGTTTCTTGAGATTCGCACTGTCTAGTTTCATGTTGAAACTAGAATCCAGTCTAGCTCGGCGCGGCAATTCGGAAATTTTAGGCAAATGGTAAACGACATGTACCGTTCTTACCGGACGAAAATTTCCAACCAAAATTTCCGGAATTTTTTTATAAATGGTAAACAACCTTTGACGAGGTGAAATTATGAGGTAAAATTGTTGGGTGACGAAAAGGCAACGATGAGGAAGAACATACAGGCACTGTTTTATGTCAAGAGGTAACGTGGCGCTGCCTTAACGCTGAGGACAATACTCGCTTACTCGGAAGTGCCTATAAAAGAAGGCCAGAAAGATTGCCAGCCGAGTTGGAAAGTAAAGAAAGCAAGACGAAAAAAGTTTTTAAACAAAGTTTTCTTTTCACAATACTCACATTTATAAACTCTTGTTAATTGTAAATAGTTTTGTACACTTTGTTCACTCAGAAGTCTTGTTCTTCCTAATATTGACAGTCATTCCCCTTAAACCTTTAAGCCCTAAGAGTGATCAGTATCAAATTTCTCCTTGTAATATCAATACTTTGTAAAACAGAGTGGTCATGAGAATTACAGACATGATGACACAAGATGAATTTACTTGATATTTTATCAACTTCACCCCCACTACTTCTGTAGGAAATGAATAGGGGCAACAAATGAGAATTCAAATTTTGATCTTATGGTTTAAAGGGTAAAGCAACGATGATGGCGACGTCGGCATGTTCTAAGCCGGAACACCACCCCGAAAATATGGCAATAGCCAAAATGAAAAGCACATATGGAAAACTTTTTCTGTTTGTTTCATCCATTTCCAGGTGTACGGGCGTGTTCCGGTGTTCAAGGTTAATTTTTTAGTACCGTATTTATTCGAATAAGCGCCCAACCACGAATTACCGTCCACCTCGAATAAGCGCCCATCCTAAAGGCAAAAAAAGTTAATAAGCGCCCAGCCTCGAATAAGCGCCCATCCCCTCCTCCTCCCAATCAAACTCAAATAAGCGTTCACCCCCCACACCACCCACTTGAGTGAGTAAATTCTATTAAGAGACTTCCCCGAGGACGGAGTTTTGTTCAGAGTATTTTACAGAAACCTTGCTTTGTTACTTCTTCTCGTTTTGTTATTAGCATTTATTGCTTTGTTGCAAAATGAACATACTTCACTTGCTAAAAATGGTGAAAACTTAATAAGCGCCCAGCCTCGAATAAGCGCCCACTCTCAAGGTCCAAAAATTTAATAAGCGCCCAGGGCGGTTAATCGAATAAATAGGGTACATGCGGGCGACGGCAGTGAAAACGTCATTTCTAAGCTTAATTCGCACCATTTCAAACCACCTAATCGCAATCATTCCAACTACAATACTGTTCAAAACGTTTGGGACACTTCGTTTTTCGGGTGAGGAAAATGCAATTCAAGTCGTGGTACAACCACGCATGCTCGTGGTTCGACTACAGCTTTGAACATTTGCATGTCATGTCTATTTGTTAAATATACTTATTAAGAGAAACAAACACACACACAAAAAAAACAAAATCCACAATAAAAAGATAATAAAGACAAAACACGACCTGACTGAGAAGGTTTTATAGACAGCAGGGCAATACACCTTACTCAAAATGGTGGAAAATTTAGTTATTCTTTTTTTTTTTCATGATAAATGGCCCGGCTTAATACCTCGTTTCAAGGTAAAAGTTGTATTTTGATTTTGCAGATGCAATTGAGATTATGAGGGCTACTTAGCACAGAATATTACAACATTTTTGAATGAGGTGTACGATTATATCACAAAATCACTCAATTTCAAGTTTATCAAGTCTTACAAGAAAAAGTACGTTTGTACAGCACTTACAAAAATCATCGGTTCATTTTTCGAAAAATCAATTGAAAACATTATACAATTCTGACAATTCGTTTAAACGTTATTAAAACTCCATGGGTTTGATTATTATGGCTATTTACATATGTTATAATTGCTCCATTTCTAATGATACAAATGAATTCAGATCAGCTATGGCCCCTAGAAAAGAGATAAAACAGTCATGAAAAAGATCACAAACACACCGACGCTAAAGGTCGATTATAGACTTAACAAGATATGGGTATACGCGTGCACTCATTTCAACTGTTTTGGGTAAAGAGCTGGAGTGTTTCCTTGTCTGTTAAAAACTATTCAACTTATATTATAACTTCCAAGTCTTTGTTTGGCTAGTATAAGTAACATCTTAGTCTGCTACACAACCGTTCAAAGTAATGCACCGCGGCCTGTAAAGAACACTACTGAAACCCGCGTAATATTTCCCAGAGGAGTGATACAGTAAAAACCCGCAACTAAAAATCTACATTTTCCCAAGTTCACCAAACAGGTTATTACATAAATTGTAATTAGCAAAAATTTAGTCTATTTAGGTTCTTAAATGGGTTCCAATTCTCTGAAGAAAAAATACATTGCAGCTAAAAGGAAACCATTTAGTGGTATTAGTATTCGGATTATTCCTTATATATAAAATCTGCATACCATTACATTGCAGTTGGAGTGATAAGCCGCTTATGTTTCCCAAGAGGATCCTAAATGTTGGCTTACCTTATTTGTCCAATTGTACCGAATTTTTTTTTATAATATAGATTTTAGAAAATAAGAACCTGTTTCAAATTCTAGGCTAAACAGGATGTTGTATAGAGGGAGCCTAACTGTCAAATTTTACGGCCTAACAGGTTCTTAGCCGCGGGTTTTTACTGTATTAAAAATCAGTGTCTTGCTCAGGCTCTTGCCTCATGACTTCGTCGCCAGAGATCTATGATTTAGTTTAATACAGGTCTGGGAATACGATTGTTTGGAGAGGATGTTCAGCTGGTCTTCATTTAATACGTTTTGCCTGATAATTTTTTCATTTGAAACGGGTATGTCGAATGCCATGATCGTCTTGTCAATAGTCCGGTTTTGAATTCGTCGTGGCCGCTAAATGAAAGCGCGAAAAGGTTAGCCTCGACCTAAGGTAAAACTGATTCAAAAATACCGGTGAGAAGGTGGCTGAATTTGAGCAGTAAAAACAAAAGACACAGTTGTACACAGGTCTTCTTCTGACTGGAATTTGTGAATATATTGACCTTAGGTCGAGGCTAACCCCGTATATACGAGTCTTCAGTGCTCCTATTCAGCGGTCGCGACGAATTCGAAACTGGACTATTAAAGGAGGTTGGCTCACAGTTAAACTTGGTGGCAAGTCGAAGGTCGCAAACAATCCTGAACTGAAGAGTCTGGACGCGAAGGACTTCAGTAACTTGGGTCTAATAGCTAGTAAGCTGGGCTGTTTTTTGTTGAATGATTGATCAGACTACATGTTTTTCAGTGAAAAGTTTAAAAAAAGGCCACGAAAGAAGCATACATTACCTTCTATTTTAGCAATTTCATCTAGTGTTTTCTTGACGTCTACTTCTTCTATTGTGGACATCTTATTTAGTGTTTTTGGCAACGACTTTTCACCTTGCTGTTCTCTGAAAAGTTCAGATTTCAGACAAAAATGACTAAAACTTCAGACACTTAAACCAGAACAGACACGAAATGCAATTTATTCAGCGGTCGCTTGCTGGATGAAGTGACATATTCAGTTTACCTGTTTTTGACCAGGTGACCTCCATCTAGAAAAAAGAAGAAGACTGATTAAATTCTCCAAACAGTTTAAAATATATAATTTCATACGGGGACACAAAACAAAGAGGAACAAACGTCAAAAATCTACTCTAGTCTAGCATGCGTTTTATTGACAAGGATCACTATAACAGAAATAGATTGCAATGTTGAAAATGCCGCAATATTTTCCATATTGTTTACTAGGGTCAATGGAAAATCTATAAAGATGGCTTCGTGTCCCGTAATTTCCCCAAAACATTTTTGGCGTAATCGAATGCACTTTACTTTCGTTTACTGGCGCAAAGTTACGAGGGGCACAGTAATTTTTCTGTGAGGGTGAGATGTATAACTTTTCTGGAGTGCATTTGTAAAAGCTCCCGAAGAGTTTTCAGGCCCAGAAAAGGCTTTTTTTCATATCCATTTTTTAACGATCCTTGGGCGTTTTTGCTCAAAGCAAGCCAACATACTTCTCGACCTTGTAAAGTTTTCGCATTTGAAATTTATTAAAAAATCACATCTACTATGAACTTTGTGCACTTTTAATAGTTATCCGGGACCGAAACTTTTTTCAAGGTTTGAGAAACCGCGAAGGCCTGGAGGAGAGGAGAGGCTCTATTGCCTACCAAGACTTTTCTTCTAAGGGGGGTGGGGTAAAGTAACTCTACAATACTAACCATCTGAGTAGTAGAGAGAAGGCTCAAGTGATAATAGCAGTCTTTCCAGTTGCTGAAGTCCCTTCTCCGCTTCATCACAAGCGGACGATGTGCTGTCGTCGTCGCTTTCTACAAAGGAGACAACGAAATTAAGTTTTACAATGCCTAGAAGGTACAACAAAAAAGGCTGCTGTCTCCTTGCTGACATGACTGAACTCACCATCACTATCGAATGAACATCCTCCTAACGACTGGTGAGGAGAGTCTGGGTTTGAGCTCGGTACCTGGTCAGTTCCTCTGAAAACCGCTTAAAGAAAAACAAAAAGAGAAAAATCATTTTCAAAAACTATAAACAGCGATACACTACGTCGTCTAGTTTTACAATTTCACTAAACCAGAAAACATAAATTCGATAAGCGAATTAACGAAAGGGAGCTGTCCTTGTACTACCAAAAGTTACATCCTAATTAAACAGTATTTTTTAACAAGCGACTTTTTATCGGAGCTTAATAAGTTTTCTTGACATGTGCACAGTTCATCCAATCCGAAAGTATCTTAGGACACGAAATATTTTGCTAAAGCTTCTTCATTAGTGGAACTCAGTGTTTTTCTATTGCTAATTTGCCCTTCTGTCCAGGAAACACTAATGCAATATGCGCTAATAAGATCAAGGCGTTGTGAAGAGAATGCGGGTAGTTTGTTGGTGTTGGTGTCGGACGGGTGAAATCACCAGTGTGACGTAATTAAATACAAAGAATGGAAAAGCCCGGGGAGGGGGCTCCGCATATGAAAGGGGTGGGGATGCTCGTCGGAAATTTTGAATTAAATCCCTAAAGGAGACCGATCTGGGCGTGGCCCAACCTTTTTTTGACCCTAAAGGAGACCATGTTAAGACACAGACAATATATTTTTTATATTTTTTCGCGTGCAACCCTAAAGCTAAATATTATGGCGTTTTGCCCAGAACACCCCAAGTGAGGCCAAAATCCGAAATTTACACCTTTAAGCGAGACGACGAGCATCCCCACCCCTTTCATATGCAGAGTCCCCCCCTGTCGAAAAGACACCGAACAACACCCACACTATGACAATAGCAAATCAACAATAGTTTCCGCCACACCAAGAGACACCCAGAATACGGCGCTATCTATCAAGGTTTTTCCGCGGGCAGGCGGGCGGAAGTACCTACCATTATGCTGTTGAGATGAGTTAGTAATGCTGTTATCCATATGATCCGCGCTGCTGTCTTGGGGACTGGGACCAGGTGTTCCTGGTACTGTCTGCTCCGCTAAGGACAAATAATGATGCCTTTAGTAAGGAGTCTCTGGCAACTTACGTCTGAATACATCAGTCTTGTTTTGTGTGTGGCGATTAAGGTACCTATCAGTCCTTACTCCATCGATCGAACAACTGGGCCCAGTTGTTCGAACGCCGGTTAGCGCTAACCGGGGGTTAAATTTTAACCCGCGTTTCTTCTTCTTTTAATCAAAAGCTTTCTCTCGAATGATTCTCTCTATTCTTTTTAGAGCATCCAATCATCAACGTGAAAGGAAAAGTGATTTAAACTGAATTTACTTTTTAAGCTCTCATATTTGAGTTCAAACTTTGTACTAACCCTGAGTTATCTTAACCCAGCAAAGTATTCATGCTATAATTACTGCTAAGGAACATGAACGTGATGACAGTAATACCCTTTCTTACTAAAAGAGTAACAAAGTTGTCAATTTCAACATGTTCAATCGTTACACGGACTGTAGGAAACCGAAGTTAAATGATGCACTAACCCCATTAACGTGACATTACCCACAGGAAGCCCAAGCTCGAAATACGATTATCGGCATTGTTGCGTAATCTTCGAAATGGGGAAAAACAGGAGCCCATCAAATGGAGCCTCCTTCTCCATTAATTTCTTGAGTCAACCCTTTCCCGAGTAGATTTGTAAATAGAACGGCTTGTTTCCCGCGAAAAGTGTCATATTTCCGTAAGTCTCGTATGTCACGGTGAAAAATAAAATTGGATGAAGTCGAACTCAGAAGCCCATCCTTCGACCGTTTTCCTTTTTTACTATACGTCCATTTTTAATTTTTACAGCCGCTGGGATCTGGGTATCATGAAATAAAAGTTAATGAATTACCCGCCTAAGACTGAGCACCAAGCGATGGGACAAAGGCAGCGAACTGAGGATCACGGAAAGGTTATCTTTGCGAGTATTTCTTTTTTTTTTTGACGCCATACATCCCACATTTAAGCATGCACCTAGAAAAGAGTCGACGATTAAGCGTTCTGTGGACGATTTGGAACTTTTCGATGATCAGCGCCGAAAAAGCGCCAGGATCATTTGATTTTTGTCATCACCGTGGAGTGGATTTCGCTAGTTACGCACCGCGTGCAAAAGCGATGACCTAAGTAGCAACTAACGAGGAATGCTTCAGTTCCGAAACTTGAGAAATTGCAGTCTCCTTTACAACTGACTTGTATCACCATGAGAGTTGCCTGATAAAACTGGCACTTGAAAAGTTGAACAGAAGACAACAGTTGCTCGACCGTGAAGCTAACTCAAAAGTAATTTGCTAACGGAGGAATTTGTGACATCGCGCTGCTCAAGGCCAAAGACCCACTTATCTCAAGAAAAACAAAATGGATTGTATCTGCGCCAAAAGAATTATGACCGACTAACAGGACAATTCTCAGCAGTTAATGTAGGAGTTTAGGCTCAATTCTTTCCTTCGAATTCGCATCTGTAGATCACTTTTTGCGAGAAAACAATGTCTGGGCCCGGGGTTACAAAACATAGCAGGGAATTATCACACTAGCTGACGGACAAAACAACCACAAGGGCTACAAGTATTTATTCAGATAAACGCATTTCGGAAAAAAAAAACCTTGAAAAACCAGAAAATTGATTAATATTGAGTCATTTAGCCGACATAAGAACCTTAACACTTTTAAAAAAAATTGGCGGAAGAAAACGAACCCTGTCAGAACTACAGACTGCAGCCGGATAGCAGTTAATTATTATGCATGTAACAGAGCAGCTTCATGGCCTCTTAATGTGAGACAAGCAACCAAAATTAAGTTTACATGGTCAGAGTTTAAAACTGTCCACAGTATAATCTACCCGCTAGAAAGAAAAAAAAGAAAATCTCCGAGGGATGAAAACGCTTAAGTCACGTTTCACTAGCTTATGATTGTTTGGCCTGTCAACACCGAATTTCCTGCTGTTTGATGAAGTACAATAGCAGTGTCATTTCGTCGTTGTGATTGGCTCTTCCCACCGTCGGCGCGCGAAGTCTCCCCTGGGAACCGTTCTAATTATAAATCTACTCGGGAAAGGGTTGACTCCAAGGGCTCGTATGGGAGATGGAGGCTCCATTTGATGGGCTCCTGGGAAAAACGATTGTTTCTGTTACCTACTAATGTGAAAGGATTTAAATAAAAAGACAGCTAACCTCAGTTAGAGAGAACAAACGCCTATAACGGGTTTCAATAATTAACAATTGTTGAATGAGGCTGAGTATCTTATGAAGAATTATGGAGAGCGAGGAGTTGTCTTCTTGCTGTTTTTGCTATATTTTTAGCCATTATTTCGCCTGGTTCCAGCTGTAGTTCTTACTCTTGAAACGAAGGAAGTGTCCGTCATTTTAGTGTTTACAACGAAAACAACTCAATCTCGTCCCCAGGTCTTCTCGGCTAACGGTGCCTTAACCTGTAGAAGGCTGCATTTTTGACGTCATTTCCTCGTTAAACACAAAATTCTTCCAAAACCGATTATGGTGAATTATGCGTGTGCTTTTAGCCAATCAGAATTGGGGAAATATTTTGAATGAATAATAATGCCCATTAAATGGCCATATATAGGCTCGGGACCACACAACTTAAGTGAGGTTAGCCCATATCACATTCATAGGTTACAGAAATAATCGTTTCCCCGCCCCCCATACAGATCCTTACATTTCGAAGGTTACGCTACGATGCCGATGGTCATAGCTCAAGCTTGGGTCACCTGTACATTACTGAAAAACAAAATTTCCCTCTCATCCCGCTGCAGCAGCACTCTTTCCCAGGGCTATCCCGACTTAAAGAGCGACCCTGGGATCAAGTGAGGTTACGTATTACCTTCATCTGCGGTTGAAGAGCTCACAGTTCGTCTCCGTTTGATGCTTGTTCCATGGTCTGTTTGTTTGGAGGGCAAGATGGTAGTAACATCTTCCAGTACAAAGTGTGTGTCTTAGAAAAACAACAAACGAATAAACAACAAAAAGTAAACACTCAAACTTGTTAGATGTGATCGGCTCCTGATGTGATGTAATATACATTAGTAATGTTTAATGTCACTGTTTTGTCACATCTTTGTCCATTTCGTGATCGGTACCCTACCCCGCAAGAAGAGGTTTCTCTCTGGCATGGCTTTTAACATCTACGAAGTCGTTAACTCGCGTAGCTTGTCATGTCAGTCGCGTAGTTGGTTTGTTTACCCCCCTGGAGAAGCTGGTGTAACGAAGAAGGGCGTAAACAACTATAGCTACGGGTGTCGTAAAGGTACATTTTATTGATGAAGTAGTACTTTCAGAGGGTGTAACCAAGAAGGGCGTAAACAACTATAGCTACGGGTGCCGTAAAGGGTACATTTTATTGATGAAGTAGTACTTTCAGAGGTTACTTAAATTACATCAGCAGAAAGATTAAAAAGCGGCATTTGAGATCAAAAGGCTTAAAATACAAATAATTAAATGAACAGAAAGCTTACCAAGTTTGTTTTCAGTTCTAATATGGTGTTCAAATGGCATAAGATATCTAAAAGGGTACATACAAAAATCATTAAAAGAAAAAACAATCACCATTTGTCAACAACTGACTAGTAAACTTGTCCAGTTGATATTTTCTTGTAGTCATTAGTTATTTCTGTCAGTTTATTCAACTCTATCGTTTATCATTGTATGCTACCGCGATTATTCAATTGATCTGGGTACTTCGTTTCTAACATGGCTTGTTCGCTCATTTATCCATGTAATGTAAAGAACAATGCTTTGTTTATAGTACTGCAAGTGTACTTGGCTGATTCAATTCAATTCAATTCAATTCTTTATTTCACACTATATAAGATATTTACATAAGTGTACGTAGGTAGGAAAATAAAGTAGCTGACAAATAATAATTAGCTAAAAGACATTAAGTACATTTGTGTACAGTATCCAAAGTAGCAAGAGCTTTCTTGTTGGACACCGTCATGTTCAAATAATCGGGAGCGGTAAAGAGAGGAATAAAATCTCAGATAATATCAGTGATAGAACATATAAGCAAGGTCAGATTCGGTTGGTTAGAAGATAGGACTTCCATTCTTTCTTAAACTTTTTGGAGCGGAGGATTTAAAGGACGTCTTACCTAAGTTGGTGGATACTCTTGGCCTAAAATAATTCAGATTACTGACAAATCTTGTATTATGATTGTGTATACGCGATGCTGGAGTCAGGACATCAAGGAAATATCTGGAATGCTATCAGTTTCATTTTTCATTCTACTGTGTATAAGGCAACATATTTTTTAATTTATATATATTATCACTGTTTAGCGATTTACCTATATTGCTCACAAGAAACCACTTCAAATAATTTAAAATTAACTTACTTTTGATAGAAGAACCTTGCAGAGCTGCTGGTTCCTTCATATAACATATCAGCATCAAGTAGTTCATTGTACACTTTGTCCCATAGTTTACTCTGACATACCTGTAATTTGCCGCAAAAAAAGAATTAACGTCAATGGTACAGCGGTTTCTCCACGAAGTTACTTCATAATTGCTTTGCTTTTGCGTTGCTATGGTCGAGGCTATGTTCACACTATAAGGTTATAGTATGAACAGCCACGACACAGAACTGAAACGAGTCGTTCACACACATCGAACATCGTGCAGTAGGTGTTGGCCGATATAGTGTTAACAAAGCCTGAATTTCGCTTAACTGGAAGCAGATCGTCCAGGCCGCTTTTATGCGTCGATAAACACTGACTCCTGATTGGCGGAAAAAGTGGCGCGAATTTTCTCAAGCAATCATGACGCACAACACACCAAACCAAAAAGCTGCAAAATTTATGCTTCCACAGCTCACTTAAAAACTGCGTTATAACATTTCATTTTAGATTTAGCTTACCTTTTCAAATCCGCCATGTTTTAGGACCAAGTTGTAAAATTTAAACAAACTTATCCGCTTGCCGCGCCATATAGGTTGTTTGGGTACCGTCACCCCACGATCCACTGAAAACGATTCCAGTCTTTCCAGGAATTCGTTCTCCTGCAGACAAGGATGAAATAAAAATTGATCATTCGTATAAAAGCTTTCTTTTGGAATCCTTTTTGTATTTACTGCCGGGATCAATGTTTCATCGGTCAAAAAAACTTTAAAAGGATAGTGTGTTTCTCCCTCTCGCGCGCCGCTCTTTAAACTAGCGCCCTATATCTATCAAACCACGTGAAACTTCTAATCTGTAGTTCTACGTAATTCCCAGAGGCAATTTTTTCTTTACCTCTTCTCTTTTCACCCACGCATACAAACATGGACACCACCGACATATTGCTGGGTAATGGACCGGCAGCCCCCAGAGAAACCACGACAGTGCGGTCTTCCAGGACCGGTCCGGGAAATGGAAATCCGGAGATTCCAGTTTAAAAACGCTTTCGAGAAAGGGAAGGCAGGGTATAATCTCTGGCCCTCTTAGAAGTTCGTGCCTTCAGCACTCACGTCCGAACCAATTTCGGCCACCTCCTCTCGATTAGTGTTACAAGAATGAACCTGGTACTTTAAAATGTGACCAAAAACTCTAGTATCAACAGAGTTAGAACTGTTGACTCCTCTTCTGCCGCCTGATGTATGTAAGAGAATTACAGTTGAAGCCCGGTAATTCAAAGTCGGATAACTCGAACTAAGTCCTATTTCCCTCAGATTTGACCCTACTTTTCAGTTATTTTTTTACCGAATAACTCCAACTTGAATTTTTCCACTAATTCGAACAAAAGTTCGTTTCCATTGATCAAGATTTACCCTGATAACTCGAATTCTGGCTCTTACTAGAAATTGAAGAGCTGAAAAATCAGTAAACCGACTAGCATCTATTAACGTAGCAAATTGAATATTCAATTGAATAACTCAAACCGCGGCCGGTTCGCCGTTGCGTTTCCCTGCAGAGTTCTGGTAAATAACCCTCTTTAGCCTTAGTATCAGGAGTTAGAAATAGCAAGAAAAGAAGTGAAAACGGGGAATAAGAAAGCGAACGGAAAGAAACGCCTTCCTTTTTCTCTTCCCCCTCCACCCTCAAATCTCAAATCGCCTCTCTCCTAAACTAAAACTGAAAGGGAAGGCCAGATAATATTCAGGCTCAACTTTCTTTATCTTATGCCGGGTTCTATCTAGGGTATTTGAGGAGTAGAAGCTTCCCCCCAAAAAAATATTGTTGTCATTACAGTACGCATATAAGTAACTATATCGGAAAAATCATCCAGACGCGACGAGGTCAGTGCACACACTGTAACACTTCTCAAAATTGTGTGTAAAAATGCACCAGATTACATCTCAGCGCATATTCATTTCAAAAATTTCCTGGGGGCATGCCTCCAGCCCCTCCTTGGAAGTTCCTCGCCTTCGGCCCCTCGGAACTTCTCCCCCAAACGATAAATCCTAGATAGAACCCTATTATGGCAAACGCACTATCACTCAGTACAGCTGATCATGCCACATACCTTCCAATCCAATGATGATACGCTTCCGTTGTCACCTAACCATGGCTTCTTCATCATGACGGGTATTGTTGGAGAGTTTAATGGAGATGTTGCTGAATTCCTTCGCTCGAGGATTTTAACTGCTTGTTCTCTTATGACTGGAGTTTGCTCAGACGAAACTTTCGCTGATGTTCGTTTGTCTTCTTCTATTGAAATAATAACGGTGACAATCATTTATGATGGTTAATATCTATTTAATAAGTTATTGCGAAGGCGATAAGTCACATCAAGCTTGAAATATATACTAACCTTTTAGTATTTTACCTTCTTTCACGCTTACAACCGGCGTTTTCGCAGTCGAAACTTCTGTCGTCGGTTTGTCTTCCTCTGTTAATATTAAAAAAGGATACATCGGAGAATAATATTAGTATAAAAAATCAAAATCAAACCGCTTGATCAATCGTGATTCATTGTCTAGGCACCTGTGCAATTAACCGTTAAAGCCATGCATAAGTATCTTCTATCCATCCTTTTCGGATCCTTTCAGTATTTAACGATCAAGGCACGTTTTGGGAGAACAGAATATATTTTTAAAGTTTTCCGGCGATTTTCTTCAGACACTTGACTCCTAATACAGCTACAACCTCAGACAAATCGTTGGGATACATGTAGTTATCTCAGTTGCGCCCTTGCTGTAACAACGGACGTCTACGGTTTGAGATTTGATTGAGCATCTCCGGGTTTGTCAAGGTCTGGAATGGGGTTCCTGATCGCGCATTCCCGCTCCTTTATCACGGCAATCCCGTGTCCCGTACTTCTGTCATAACAATCCCGAACACCGTTTTCTTTCCCAATACCGTATCCCGTGCTAAGATCCCGTATCCCGTACTTCTGTCATCTCTATCCCGAACACCGTTTTCTTTCCCAATACCTCATTTCGTGCCACGATCCCGTATTTGCGTTTCGTGTTCCTCGAAAGATGGTTAAGTTTAACCCAGGATTAAGCCAAATTTCAAGCACGGTTTTCTCGTCTAAGAACATGTAACTCGAGGTTACAAAATACCGTTGAGCCTTTACTACGAGATACAGTAATGATAACACAAAATGTTACACTAAGCAATGAATAGGAATGTAAAATACAAAAACGGAGCAAAATTTTAATCCTGGATTAACGCTTATTGGCCTTTTTAGGAACTGTGGTCGGAGAATACCCTTCAAGGCCTGGTTTATCACTAGAGTAATGCCAACCACTGAGACTGAAAGGAGAGATTATTGACCCAATACCCATCACTAATAAACTAACCTTCAACATATTTAAAATGACAGCTTGCCAGTCGCTGGTCGGCAGTCTTGCTTAACGAGTTGTATGCTTCTTTAAGGGCGAACTCATAGGATTTTCTAAGTTCCATAAGTTGGCGTCCCTGAATTTTCCGAAACTTGGGCGTTTTCTCAATCTCATTGATGGAGCGAAGTGGATGCACGAGAGCTGGCACTAGCCACGCACGAGAACGAGGTCGGCCAAAGAACTCCACGTGATAATGCGTTACTTCGTCTTCTTTGATCAGCGGTGCGTCGTAGTACTCTCCGCAGGTTGGATCCCTTGTTAAGAGACCTGGCCAACTAGATTGTAATCAATAAATATGAATGAGTAATTCGATCTCTCCAGGTATTTAAATGAATAGTAATGGGTAGAAGCAATTATTCAAAGAAATAAATCACAGTATTTGTTGATAATTTACCGGGAAAAAAGAATAGCATAGGTCCAAAAGGGGGGCACGGTAACCTGTAGGTGAATTCAATAAAGTGCAAGAGGGCGGGAAACATTGCTTTTGGATTCCATAGGTTAATTAGTTTTCATAACAGGCTGCAGCTCGCACGCAAAAAATTAAAATAGCGAATACTTTCTTGGAGGATGTTTTATGTATGGTGGCAAAAACGCTTGCACTTTCTAAAAGCGGTTATTTTTAGCATAACGTATTTCCTTGAATAATAGTCGGGCGTGATTTTTTCTTTTCGCACCAAAAGGGGTCCATTATTCGAGGGAGGCGCTTATTTTAAATATTACTTTTGTTTTATTATCCCATTAAATTTTAAAAAAATAGTCACAAAAAAAAAACAGTGTATAAAGTGTTCCAAATTTTTAGTTCCTTGATTAATTTTTAAAGTCATTATGCAAGGAATAAAGGAAAAAGTGAAATACATGAACATTACCATAGAGGAAACTGTAACGAAATCTGTGCTTTTGTAACTATTCAATTTTTAACTTGACAGGGAGGGGATAAAAGAAATTTAAAGAGAAGATGGCGAGAGGGGTGGGGGAGGGGGGGCGATTATTCCAGGGAGGCGATTTCTTTATTTTCATCAAAGGGAGGGCGATTAATCGAGGGACGGCTATAATTCGGGGAAATACGGAAGTGTTCATGATCAGAGAGAGAACACTGAAAAATATGGTGCAGTACTTACGGTGGATATCCGTGCATTTTAGCCGTTACCACCTCCCCCTCGGGTAGCAAACTGTATATGAACTTCATATGCTTCGGTTTTTTAACCTTCTGTTCTTCAGCTGAACATGTGTTATAGCGAGTATCACGATTAAACCAGCAGTACCATGAGCTGCTTTCCTCCAGTCCCTTAGCCTCCTCAGCTGATATAAGTCGCCATTTGTTACAGCGTTCGCTCTCACACTGCACCCAGATGCAAACAGGATCCTCTTCACTTTTTGTCTTCAGAGCCCGCGGTACCTTTGGCGAGCGGCTCGCCTTACATTGATTCAAAAGTTCACGCTTGCGTTTTGGCATTGCGCTTGGATTATAAACCACCGGTGAGCTGTTGAGGATATAACAGAATTCTGTAAGTATTAAAAAGTCGTTTCCAAATTTTTGTTGTAGAACGAAATGTCGTTATTGATTTGAATATGCACTTGCTCGGCTAAAAAATATCCCTTGACCTTCTCGACCCTAAGTGACGAACCATATCGTAGAGAGCAGAGAACATAGGGTATCATTAGAAGGATACAAAATGCATCGAAACCCGCGGTTTTTGAGATGATTCGACAAGTTTTCCTTGAAAACAACAAAAGACTTGTCAGGTCTTCGCATTTCCTATGCAAGTTTTCCTTGAAGCAAGACATGTTTCTTCGTGTCAAGCAATACTTGCTCCCGTAAAAGCGACTGAATCAAAGCAATGCAGGTGTGCCCGCATGGCAGTGCGATCAGTTAAATGATAGTGTTAGTGTTTTTTAAAAAAATTTTGCACCTCAAAATGGCGTCCGCTAAAATGTAAACCTTAAAAAACAAATCAGCTGACATTTCCCCACAAACCTTTCACTTAAGACATATATAGTGCACTACATCAAGAAATACCGGACCCGTACACTTAAGTATGATTTGCAAAAAAATTCAGTCCACGTTTCTGAGAAGCTAGGCTATCGGGTTCCCAGTAAGATAAGGATGTCAACAACAGAAACACTCCTCCTGCGAAAAGGAAGGTAGTGAAAAGAAGACAAGCGAGAAATATTACAGGAAGTTCCAATTTTTCTTTAACAGGAACTTGCGGGTCTTCTTCCTGTTTGGTCAGCTGTGTAACGCCAATATCAGCGTAAAATGTATTTTTACACACGGAAACAAGATGAAGATCTATTCTTGTTGAGAATGTACAATATATTAAATAAGGAACCTTACAAAGCAACAACAGTAACGGCAACGGAAACGTCTTAAAAACAAAGGGTCGGTTATTTAGACCGCGGTTTAGGAAATGTTTGGGCCTCAAGATCTCTTCCTTAGTGGGATATTTTGAGGAGACAAATACTTTTCCAGTCTATGCCATTTGATATCATGAAACTGTTCACGATAAATGGTGTTTCCATAAAAGCGTTGGACAAACTGAAAACGACTTAGAACCAGCTGTAGAACGCGGTTTTGTTAAACAGTGGCTAAACTCCGTTTAAACTGAACTGGCCCAAAAGGTTTGGTGAGCAAAACAACAACTCAGCACGTGCATCATCACGCTTTTCTGTAAATTACTTTGCCGTCGCTGCTGCGTACTACGAGGTCCAAATGACCACATTTTAGCAGGTTTATTTGAGAGCGAGAACAGCAAGTTCAGAGGGGATAAATGTTACGCTATCTGTCTGAACTCGGACGCACCGGATCCCCTCCTTTTATATTAGCTCCAACCTAATTTCTCGGCATCTTTTATAACTGGATCACTTGGCCCGAATAATCGTGAAAAAGTTTGAGAAAAAGCAAACGGAAGTTCTTCAATGACGTTTCACTGCCATTGCCGTTTTCGATCTCGGATTGTAAGCTTCCTATTGATACGGTGAACGGCTATCTATTGCCACGGATAGCTCAGGTGAAAATGAACTAAAACATCTAGCCATATTTTCCTGTAGTTCTTTCTACGCACTGTATATTACATATATTTTTTGGCAGCGCTTCCTGAGGAAATTAGAAATAAACTCTGCCGCGTATGACAAATAGTGTGTTCCAGAGTTCCAGCTAGGCTGCTTGCCGTCCAACTTTTCTCTTAAGGTGTTTCCAAACGGTTTATCGGAGACCACACCGGTACTTTTCAATCTGCTTTAACGATCGCCATAAAATTTTCACCACTAAACCGACTTTGGATTGAAGTCACTTACTGGTGAAAATATCATGGCGAATGGCGATCGTAACAGGAAAAATCAATTTAAGGCGATTGAAAACTATCGGTATGGCCTCCGAAAAACAGTTTCGAAACACCTTAAATCCGTTGAATTCTCTTCCTAGCGAACGAGGTTGCAAAACAGCTACGTTATTAAAAGGGACTGAGACGATACGACAAAAATAACAACCGGGTCGCTTTCCATGTAAGCAAAATTTCTAATTCGACTGGTTTAAATGCAAACGGAACGGGCGGTACGACCGGAAATTTTCCGGAACAAACGGGCAATCTTCCGAGCTATTCCACTTTTCCCGTTCCAACGGGTTGGAACACAAATTCCCGTTCTATTCGCGCAATCCTGTTTTGGCAGGCAGCTTGCGCCTGGAATTTTTCCCGCCATTTCCACCGTTTGCCGGTGAGCGTTGTTCACAGGTAGTCGCAGTTCTGCTTTTTATTTCTTTTCTTCTCATTTAGAAAAATGGCATATGCACGTCCGATGCTAGGACGCTGGGAGGATTTTCACGAAATTTTTCTTGTCTCAAGCTGGCAAAAACACTAAACAAAAGGAAGAATTTTGTAATGGCAGATCAACCAAAAAAGAAATTTCCAAAACATTGCCAGCGAGTTTATCAAACACAGTCTCCAAGGACGTGGTGACGGGCGAACAGTGCAAGCAATAGATTGCAAACGTGGCTCTATATATGGCTGCAAAGACTTTCCATTTGACCCGGAATATTTCTGGAATTTTCAACCGGAAATTTTGCCTAAATGGAAAGGGCCCCTGATAACGCCCTTGATTATAGCGACTCGCGGCTTGCTTCAACGTTCGCCACACGCGTGTACATGTATGCGAAGGTCTCAATGGGGTTCACCGTCAGCTGTCAAAAAAGGTCAGTTATTTTTCACCGTCAGCCATCACAAATGCCGACTGGTATTAACTGTCAAAAAGTTTCAAGGCATTTCAAATCTTGCTTTTTTTTAGTATTTCAGCTGATCTTCATGGACCTCTGGCTCCTGAACAATCTCCAAACCGGAAAACCAGTTCCCACGTTCTCAAAACACTCCTTCAAGACATTACAACATCTTAGTACTTGCTTATATCTGAAAATATTTCGAAATTTTACAAGTAAAAGGCCAAGACAACCTCCAAACCACAACTGTTAATATAAATTTATACAGAAGTAAATATGTACAAAAACTCTTGGACAAAATTTCCACGAAATAACCGTCAACCGTCAAAGCCACCACCCCATTGAGACCCTCCGGCGTATCATGGTTACACGTGCCTCCCAAGAAAAGTTTTTAAAAAAGAGAGACAGCTCGCAGTCTAAGTTTCAGCACAGTTTTTGAGCAGTCGCAATCTGAAACATGGTTTATCTCCTTTCGCAAACTTCGCAGACAGTCGAAGTCATACTTTTGAGCACTTTGGATTACGTCAAGAACCACTCACTCCATGCATGGCCAAAGGGTCGACATATCATATAAGGACTGAGTTACAGCGCGTTCAGCTTTTCCACCCAAAAACCCCCAGCTAATCAGAGCAGGATTTCTAGCTATGGCGGATGAGATCAGCGAAGTGCACAGCGAGCAAGCTCTCGGAAGCAGGGATGGGTAGGAGGTTTAAAATTCCCCTACCCTTATCTCCGCTCTCCACACCTGCCCCCGAGAGACCGCTAGCGTGCTACGTCCTGAAGAACCTTGGCAGTGACGACCAAAGAGGCGCTGTCTAGAAGATCAACCGCCATAAATTATTATCCGGACGTCGGTGGACGACGCAAATTTTTGCGAGCGGAAAATAAAAGCAGAACCTAAAAGTAGACAACCTCGTTCACAGGGCTTTTCCCCTGGGAACAAGAAGGTTAAAAAGTCGACTAAAAGTAAGCCTGACCCAGTGTGACACTTATAAGTAGCCGACGGAAATTCCAGGGTGATACGCTCCTGATTACGTAGTAATACGGCAAAAATGTCTAAAATAAATACCTGCCTTTATAAAAAAAAACGTTCTGGCCCAACTGAGGTACACAAAAATTCTGCATGGCATATAGATGTATCACTGAGTCGAAAGGAACTCATTAAAATTATCATAAAATTATCTAATTTTCACGCTGACGGCAGACCAACGAGGCCACTGTAAACTTGCGATGAGGGAGAACAAAGTACAATAATTGCTCAGGTTCGCTTCTGGCTGGTGAAATCGTTCCTTTTCCTAATGATTACTCTCAAAAGGAGTCCAAAAACGTTGGCGGCAAGCAGCAGCGACACGTAAACATTGCTGAAGCGAAAATTTAGGCAGTTTTAAGATCTCGCTAGCTGCTCTAAAAGGAAACACGGCGGACGGAAGTCGAAAATGACCGGAGGCCAGGGAACTGATCGCCGGAAACGTCATTTCACATTCGGTTGTACAAAACCTAAATTCTTCAAGCCAAAAAGAAGTTAAAATTGCCTGTGTGATTATGAGAAAAAAGCCGGAAAGGCACTTAAGAATTAGAGAAAGCGAAAGCTCTGATTTGACTCAAGCGATTGGCAAAAAACCAGTAATACATTGTAATAATAATAACCTTCAGCAGGTGCAGCGGTGTCTAGAGTATAGGTCACAATCGATGAATGTATGATACCAGCCATGCTGATGGTTTGTGGTTGATAATTTTTCTGCACAAATCTTACTGATGGTATAATAAAGATCACTTGTCGTTGTTGTTGCTGCTTTTGCCTGGTTCCCGTACATTGAGTTGCTATCACTCAGGAAGCTTATGCCACGGCCACCAGCAAAGAAGCCAAAGAAGACGGGGGTTTTTAATATCAAGTATTTGAAAATCATACTGATTTAAAAGGGATTTGCACGCTCACGATTTCCTCCTCCTCGCTTTCACAACAACCGGAGAGTAAAGAACTTGAAAATTGAAGTTTCGGAAGGCTTACCTTAAACCAAACGAATCATTTTCCTGAGGGGAATTATAGACTGACTGAACCGTCAACCCACGCAAAGTATTGAGGGTCTTTTATCATTGTTAAAAATATATTGGACTAAAAAGCGATGGCTAGAATCACGCTACGGAAGATGTAAGTGAAATTCATAGAAAGGAAGACAATAATTTTTTCTCTCAGCAAGAAAGTAGAGACGATGTTGAATTCCGTGTAGTTCCGACAAAAGAAAGATATCGCTGATCGGAAACAGCGTGATCCAAAGATGTCGGATATGACGTTGAGCTGTGTAATTTCGGTTGACATAGCACAGCACAGGACTGTGCTACGAGAAAGGCGGGAATCCAGGGGCCTTTTTCTCAAAAGGCCCGGAAACTTTGCGGGCCCGAAGGCAAATTTTAAAATCAAAATCTTTTGAATATAACACGGTTTCTAGCTCACAAACCAGTCAATTTTATTTCTTTAAATGATAGTTTCATTGTATCAAAACTTTAAAAACGTTGATCTTCAGTGCAAACAAGGCAAAAATAAAACAGCTTTGCGCTGCCAAAAGTTACCGGGACTTTCGAGAAACAGGCCCCGGGGTGGGGGGTTTTGAGGGGCGGGGTTGGAGAAACAGGAAGAAGGTGGGAGCAATTCTATAATTTCGAAGAAATCATTCTAAATTTACATACCAGTCTGCTAAGAGCAATTTTGTGCACGAGAGCCAGGGAAAATTAAAAACAGTTTGGTAAATTTTGGGCAGATAGAGCACGACTAAGGAACGACATGTTGTCGACTTAAACTTCCTTCCGTCACTAAGAGCAGCGACTGGGAAACAAAAGTCCTTAAATATCCATGACACTAAGATTGCACTGCTAAACTTAAATACCCCTTGACGTGTCTACGTCGGCGGAAGGTCACGCCACCAGAACGTATATTCACCTGCAATATACATATTTTCGCTGTGACATCAGCTCTTAGATCGTTAATTTTTCCCTCAAATTTATGCTCTACATGTTCTTCCTTTACCTTTAATGTCAAAACCACGCAGCACTGAGAAAGTTACTGGCTGATTTTGCGATAAAAATCTACACCCAAGGTACAGACGACGTCACGTTCAGTGAACCGAAACTTGTAACTCAGTTGCTAGCAGATTACGTATTTCCTGTTGTGTATATTGCTACACAAGTGTGAAAGGATTTTTTCTCGTCGACGTTTCAGTTTTAATTAAGTTTAAAAACAAAAATACTTTTTTAATACAGTTAAGAAATTTAATTGGCTTTCACAGATTTTACATGATTTCAAGAAGTTTACAACTTCTCGGTAAAAAGCGTCGTTGCAATGAGCTTATGTTTGAACACGTGAGCTATGAATCTACATGAAAGTTTTGATATAATTACTGCTTTTGACACCGATTAAATCCTTTGAACACTGAATCTCAAATTTTCACTTAATAAACGCTAAGTAAATCAAGGCTTTAGCCACGTCTGAGTCATTTTCGGGCGCAAAATGCTGATAACATTATTCAGTTTCGTTGTCTTTGAGCACATCTATTTTTATAGAACTAGGGTGACATGGCCGGCGAAAGACTTCTATAAGCGGAAGTTGCTGTGCATTTCGCCACGTTCTTCATCGTGTGATTAATTCCCGGGTTGCAGCTGCAGCACATTGATTGTATGACTTAACTTTGAAGTAATATATTCGATTAACCAAGCATTGTTTCTACGATCAATGCGTTTTATTTCTCTCACCGGAAACAACTGGTTCCTTTAGCGACAATGAATTTCTCGATTTACGTGAGAAAAAATTAAGCACATTTCAGCCTCGAATGTGCTCAAAGTAAACTCAAATGAAGCCAACGAAAAGACCTGAAACGCCAAAGGTTTCGTAAAAATCTTTTAAGTGCATTTTGGTTCACTTTTGTCTCAACACGCGGTCCGTTGTTGTGACAGACGGGAAAACGAAGCAGATAGTTCATCGAGTTTGTTTGCGGTTTTCTCAAATAATTCTGCAAAAAATAATTACATGAGTGTACTTACCTTACATTGTTGCAAAAATTCTGGATTTCTCAAGTTGTTTAAGGTGCGAAATCTTTTGATGTGTGATCCATTCAAATGCTCAAAGACAATGACAATCAACACGTTTCTTTCCTCTTGATTTTCCCGCTTACTAGGGTAGGCCGCTGATGTGCGAAGGCTCAATAAGTCACTACGCATGCTATTTTTGAGTAGCTTTTTTGAGTCAAAACGCCAGCTGAAGAAGCTGAAAGCACTAATCAAAGAGATTTCGCGAAGTCTTCAAGCTTTTTGCGACTCAAAAGGTCCTCAAAAGTCAGAAGATTTGTAGAGAATCTTAACTACAAAAATATAGATGTAGATGTCTATTTTTAGTGCGATATTTTTATAGTTTTCGTAAATAACATGTTGTTTGGTCACGCTTTAAACAATGGAGTAGAGATTCCAAACATTGGACGTAAGTGTTTCCATGTCAATTTTTATGACTTTTTATGTAATAATTATTTGAACATAAAATATAAGCCTAAGACTTACCTTTATTTTGGCACTGCACATAAGTCAGATCTAGAATTCAAACAGACCTTTGAAAAACTCATCACCGCCATGCATCAATAACCCAAATGGACTAATCTGGCCAGCTCAAGCCTGTTCTGACAATGGTAATTTCTTGTACTGTTTTTATGGGTGCTTTAAATTACTAGTAATGAGAGATTTTCTTCAGTTGGAACGTTTCAGATGAAATCAGTGGCTGAAGATGATGTAATTTACAGAACAATCAATAGCGCACTGCAGTGTGGCTGCAGACTTATAGGTAAGAGAAGTCAAGTTCACTGCAGACTGTTTGCAAAACTTAAAATTGTCTTATAAGGTAGTCAGTGCATAGGGTATTACCCCGTGGGAAGGCGGGTAGGTACTGCCATATACAGCTATTTCGAGAAAGGTTGTCGGAAAAAATGTGCATGTGACAATCCCGAAAGGTAATCAGGTGCGGATCCACACCGGTTTCCACCGTTTTACGGAAATCGGTCACATTTTTCATATTAAATAATTATATTTATCAAAATAAAAACACTTTGCAAGTTGAAATCTGGCCCATATCCCATCTGAATGACTTGGAAATCCAGGAAAGGGGACTTAAAGGAGTAAAAATCCAAATAATTTCTTGGGGGAGCCACCCCCCGGACCCCGCTAAAAGCTGGCGCCTTCCGCGCTCATTTAGGAAATCGGTCAGTATTTATCCTAGATCCGCGCCTGGTAATATGGGATATGTTCAATACACTGTTCCTGACACTGTAGCTGTCGAACCTACTTTTGTTGCTTTCCTTTAGCACTTGCAGACATATGTCCATGACCTCTCCTGCCATTCTTTCAAATTTCTTTGAAAAACAGTGCACTCAAAACCACCCACAATACCTTTTGGGGCTGTTGTGTGCACTTTATCTGACAACCTTTCTCGAAATAGCTGTATAGGCTATATACATACCTGCCAACCCCCGGAGTACAAAATCTGGAGATGTCTAGAAATCTTCAACAATGTCTGAATACTCTCCGAAAATCACCCGAAGGCCTTTCTTATGTTGCCAACATCAATAACAGCGAGTGAAAACCACGCCAACTTTCTACCAAGTATTGTGCAATTTGATTGGTTGATTTCTGACCAATTACAATACTCGTTAAATATACATCAATTTGATTGCTCTGTTTTACATTTTCTAATCAAGAACAGCTCAAATAAGAGAACTAAATTCACTTCTTGTTTCATTTTCCTTTTTGACATCTCAAAAATAACAAAATTAATGAAAAAATTCTGAAAAAGGTCACGGTAGGTATTTCCCCGGGAGATTTGGTGCTCTAACTGGGAGACCGGGAGATCTGATGAAAAACTTGGAGACTCCTGGGAAAACCGGGAGAGTTGGCAGGTATGTATATAGGTATAAGCTGCTGTAAAGGGTATGGTTTAGGTTTAGGTTTACTTGCAACTCATTAAGCTTTTGTGCTGGACTGTGCTGCTGACCTCAGTACTTTTTGAAAAATAGCAACTCTAGGATACGCCATAGGAAGGTATTTTGGGAGTTTAGTCTAGTAAAGGACAGCAAAGTTCGGGTGGACTAGGTCGGTTGTAATCCAGGGGTTCCACGGTCCCAGCAGCTCATCCCTATCCAAGAATTCTTAAGGTACCTCCACCAGGGACATTTTACATTAGTGACATGATTCTTGAGTACTCATTAATCAGGGACTATGGTCTGTGAGAGCATTGACAAAGGTTTCAAATTATGGCATAATGATGACACAATGTGTTTTTTCTGTTACTCGCACACATTTTCCAAGAAATTTCACCAGAAATGGACATATAGACAACAATTTCCATTGTCTAGACTCCTAATGGCAATAGAAATGTGTTGTTTCAGTAAATATCCATACTGCTTACACAGTGGTTTTTTTTTTTTATCCTGCAGCCTCTTTGAAGTTATTCCAGTTTAGCTTCATACTTTCCATTAAAAAGTTTGGTCCTCAAGACCCCACGTTTGTCTTAAGCACTTATAGGCACTGAGATGTTTTATGCGCAAAGGGAAACAGTGTAACAGAACTTGTCATACAGTCGACTCCCGGTAACTCGAACCCTCCACAACTCGAACCTCCCGTTAACTCGAAGTAATTTTCATTTCCCTTCAGATCATTTTCCATATAATTTTACCCTCAATAACTCGAACTCCCGATAACTCGAACTTTTTTCTATTTCCCTTGAAGGTTCGAATTATCGGGAGTCGACTGTATTTCCTTAAGCCTTTCCATCAACAACAAGAAGCGACAATAACAAAATATTAATTTCCCGTCATCATATTGTAGTCTCATGCTTAATGAGTTAAGGCTTTGAGTCTTGATTATTTTTTGCTTGCTGTAAACAGACACAGCTGCTGTTTATCGGAATGAAGCAGATATTGGACGTGCACTAAAACAGCTTCTACCAAAGTATGGCCTTTCCAGACAAGATGTCTTCATAACAAGTAAACTGTGTAAGTCTTTGGAATTTCTCTAATGTGTTATTAATATGACAAGTTTAGGCCTGTATCTTAAGTTATTGCCTTTAATTAGCCAAACAAAATGGCTTTTTAAAGTCAAACGTTTTGTTATTTTGCACTGACATGTCTCTACTATAGACAGTTTTGTTGGTCCCAACGCTCCTAGAGGTCATGCATACATGTACCTCTATTATTTCACAGTCACCTTTTGACACTTTCTCTTCCAAAAGTGGCTAAAGTTAAAACTTGACAAAGTTTCCAGATTTCTTTTCAAAATGATTCCAAAAAATATTAATGTAATAAAAGAGAGGTGTCCTTTGAACGTCACACAATAGGATTTCATCCACAGACTCAAAAGTTAGAATGCAAACAATTGTTGATTATAAGTGACAAGAAGTGTTAGCACTGGTTTGGATTTTGTGATTTCAAGACTTACCATAAGTTATGACAACAGAGTAGATTATTTAATGACAAATAATACAACTTTATTGACTTTATCTTCAACATGTAAGATTTCAGTACCAAAACAATCAATATATTACTTACAAATGAAACAAAGTAAAATAAAAGTTAAGTAAGAAAGAAAGGAACAACAACTATCTATTGAATATTAACTTAAAAAGAAAAATTACTTGGCTATGTACGGCTTCTATGCTAATAAACATGTGTAACTTTTAACCATAATGAATTTGTTTACATTTATTTGCATCTGTGGATATATTTTTTCTTATCTTTGTGTATAAGAAATACCCCGTGCACAGATCAGGCCCTTTGCCAAGGCTTTTAGTTACTCAATATTATCAATGAAAGTCTTTTTTAATACCCACTTCAAATGACTTTCATTGAGTATCCCGACCTTGAGTACATTTAAGGACTTTAGCAATCCAATGACACAATGACAACGAGAATGTAAAAAAAAATGATAGGCTTAATAAGCAAAATAACAACTTTGCATATGCATCACACTTTTTTTACATTTTTGTTTGCTGCTTTGTCACTACTGTGACATAAAAATTTCCAATTTTGCATTTTATTTTTATGGAGAACATAAACTACCAACAATGCAATTTTATTTCTCTTTCTGAACTTGGATGTGGTCCCTTGGAATTTGACTTCCTATAAGAGGGTTTGCCTATATATTTGACAAAGGAAGTGGTTAAGAATAATCAAAATAAAGAATGAAAGAATGAAAATTCACTTTTTAACCGATGTTCTCATTGCTATTGCGTCGTTGGATCTTTTAAAAGTCTCCATTACCCTTGAATAAGTTCAGCATTGATCTGTGTCTAAACGCTTTAGAAGCAGGCTGTTATGACTTCATTGGCAGTCTTCAAATTAACATAATTATTTGCTTGAACTCTTAAAATATTTCATATATATTATGGTATTTTTTTGTTGTTCTTCTCCTCAGCCCCAAGAGACCATGGATTTGATAGTGCAGAGGCAGCTTGTATGAAGTCTCTAGAAGCTTTAGACTGTGAATATCTTGACTTGTATCTCATTCACTGGCCTGGTGTACAAAAGCTGAAAAGGGAAGATCCAAAAAATTCTGAACTTAGAAAGGGAAGCTGGCTAGCACTAGAGAAGCTTTATAAAGCAGGTTATTTATTTTAATAGACCCTTCCACATTTTTTTTCAATTTTTGATCTGGACCAGTTAGCGAAAAATCCATCAAGACAGGTGAGAAGCTCACTTTAAAATTAGTAAAGATGCCAAGTTTGAACATGATATGTTGAAAATTAGTAACAAAGATATAGCTCCACAAAGTCGCCAAATTCTACAGACATTTGCCTATAGTTTGCCTATAAGTTAATGTACCCTCTATACAAACTATTTTACATCATTCTGTACAATTTTTGCCACTTTGTGAATTAGCTATTCAACGTATCACACTTGAACTTGGTGAGTTACTCTTTCTGGCAGTGTCAATGGATATTTGCTAACTGGTCTTATTAAAAACTGAATCATTGGATAATGCAATTCTAGAGCTCTGATTGGCTTAGCCATCATGGTGTATGAGCCATTATACCATGATCTCTAAATATGGTGTGAAGTGTACTCGTCTGCTCAAAATTTAAAATAAGCTGAAAATCGGTTGTTTTTCCAAATAAAGTCAGGAAGAATTCTTGATATTTTGTGGGCTTTTTTAATAAAACAATATTATTCTGCTCACACTTGTTGGATATGAGATGATTACTGGCTATCTACTATCTCATATCCAACACGCACTCGTGGTAGACGGATCTATTCTCAACTCAGAAAACGCGCATGGATTTCAGACACCCTAAAAATAATCCCCCATCCCCCAGCCCCTCTAAAAAAAGTTGGTCTATAAATTAAAAAGTAAGTCTATGTGATGATCTCATTCTGCATGGGTCTCCTTCAGGTTTACTCAGAAGTATCGGTGTATCAAACTACACAGTTGCCCACTTGGAAGAGATGTTACAGTATGCTACTGTTGTTCCTGCTGTACTACAGGTGACGTTAGTTATAATGTTTCTTCTCTTTTGTACAGTAGTGTCTGTTTGCTTCTTTGTATAATCTGGTGGTATAGGACTTCAGAAACCCAAGAACAGCTATTATTCAAAGAGCAACATTCATTCAGGAAGGGGCAATTTCTTACATGTTTTACAAAGTCACTGAAACTGAAACTATTAATGCATTACAAAATATAATTGTTGGCAACTTAAAAAATTTTCAAAGAATTTTTAAAGGCAACATTCAGAGAATCTCTGGGTACGTATCATGGTATGTGTACTTTCTTTACACGTTTGTGTTTTTTGTTTTAATTTCAGTCTATTAAAGAATTAAGCATGATATTGTCTACATTAACTTCCAAGAAAAATGCAATGCCCAGTGCAGTTTTTCTCCTAATGTTCAAATTCATAGTACTGGTATCCCTGTGCAGCCAGTAATTTAACAACTCAAGTGTTTTAAACTGTAGGTAGAGTTTCACCCAAGACTTTTCCAGAAAGGGTTGCTTGAGTACTGCCAAAGGAAAGGAATTTGGCTACAAGCCTATACTTCATTAGGCCAAGGAAAGGTATGTTACAACCAAGATGAAGTCTTCGATTCAGTGGGTTTCTAGTATGGGACTAATACATGTATTTGAGAGATTCATTGCATTTAATTACTGAAATCATGACCTTTTGGCTTTTGGAAGTGTATGGACACTCACCAAATGAGCTAGTGCAAGACTTGAAAAAGTCTTAAATTACAGCATGTTTATAGGACAAGCAGCTCTCAAATTTGCTTGTCTAGGACCATTGCATCCTTGTCTAAGTTTTTGATGTAGTTAGAAGATGACTTGACTAGACCTTGGCCCTTCAGTCAAGTAAGCATGAAAATTGCTTACTTGGCTGAAAGGAAAATCGGCTTGAGGTGGATTAACGGAGGACACTGTTTTCAAGCCTTTTTTTTTCAATAGACACTGAGCTACAATACTCGTCAAAAATTTTGAAACACTTGTATGCATTTCTCCTTCCCCAATGTTGATTTGGGTATTATAGTCGTCTCAGTGCTCCAAAATACGCATGACTCAACACTGGGGAAGAAGTGGGGCACATTTGAGTGAGAACAAAGGCGTGGAGAGTGAATGTAAGAACGTTTCGAGAAAATTCAGGAATACCCAACGTCAATTTTCGGAAAATTATCTGTTCGAAAGGCGATTTGAGATCTAGAATTTTCAGAACATTTGTTGTAAAATTTCTTGTTTGCCTGCCTCTCCTAGGATTTTCGAACGTCTCAAAAATGGTATAATTGCCCATTTTTAACGGATTTTTACCCTAAAAAGGTCACCTAGAACTTTCGGGAGCCTTTTTTCTGGCTGAAATTTTCCAAAAAGTAAGTTTTGATCCCTATGATTTTCGGATCACTAGACTTTCAGCTAGGAAATCCGAACAGATGAAAAACTTTTGTTGGATAGAAATATGCCTATATCTACCGTTTAAATACTAAAATACGTTTAACAATGTTATGTTTAAGTGGTTTTGAACTATATTCTCGTTGGGTGCCCCTGAACATGCAAGAGAAACGGTTCCTGTTTCAACGATTTGTGATGAGTATTGTAGGCCTTTACCGGGTTCATGTCACACATGTCCAAAATAGTGCTAGGACCAGCGGTGTCTAGATGACTTGTATGAACAACAATCTCATCTTACCTACATGTGGTAACCTTTAATCTCTAGTGTAGAGTATTGTAAGCCATCTTGCACCTCAGTAGTCATTAGTTATAGTGAAAACTCTATCATTATGGGTCCCTTGTTGGTGTCCACTTTATAGGAGGTGTGTACAGACCTGAAGACCCATTTATTTTACAGAAAAACAATTCAAAAGAAAAATTTGGACTTACTGTTGCTTGTGTCCTGTAAATGTGAAGTGCTCTGCTTATTACAAGATAAACTCTGTTGAGTTTTTTTTTTATGGGGGGGAGGGGAAGCAGGGCTGGATAAAAGTCCTGCCCGTTAGTTCGGGACAAGTACTGTAGATTTTCTTTCAGGGCAAGTAACTGTAAACGGCCACTCGCCCAGTGGGCAAGGGTATACGCAAGTCATTCTCTAACAAAATCATTAACTAAGATAAGCAAGAAGTGGCCCCGAACAAGCAAAATGTGACAGCTGCTTGCCCAAATGACAAGTAGGAAATTCCCTTTTTTTTCGAGTACTTGAGGGTTGCTTTTGTTGTTATTTGTTTTTTAGAGGAAAATTTGAGGAAGACTTTGCAAAACAACTTTAATGCAGACAAAAAAGCAAGATTGCACAATGAACCAAAGTACTACTGACAATCTCTTTAGCTCTTAGATGAGGCACAAGTCAGAAGTATAGCTACAACATACAACAAGTCAACAGCTCAAGTGTTACTCAAGTGGGCTCTTCAACATAATGTAGGTAGGTATGATAATTATTATAGTTATTAGTGAGTGTGTAATCAGCATGCAGCTCTCTTCTGAACTCCTTCCACCAGTTTGATGTACTTAAAACTGATAATGAATTCGAAGGAACATCATGTAAATAAGCTAGTTATGAAGTTTTTTTCCTCCTGTATGAAAATACGTGATTCATTGTTAGTAATGTAACTGAATTTTTCTAGATTATTATTAGTGCTGTTTGTTTTATATTTTGATTGTCATATGCATGCTTTTGCACTACCGTAAAGTGATGCAGTCATGCAAATAAAGCAATTTATTACTATTACTAATAGAGAGTTTTAGATCCGAGTTTACCGCGAACCTCTAACGACTCTAACCGCTGGAGGTCACATGATAAGTCTTTCGCGTCACGTTTGAGGTTTACGACGCGCGTTTTCAACGTGGGGAGGTAGGTTTTCACGTATGTCATTTGCCTGAAAGCTTTTAGCGTATAATTCTTGTTTTATCCCACGTAATGATACAAAAATCTTGTGGAGCAAGTCTTTATCCATTAACAGAGGCGCAAATTCGGACGAAATGGCTAAATTTGATAAATCCTATTGGATCTTGAAAACAAGTGCCATTCATGGCTGCTGATTCAAAATGGCAGCCGTAAATTTGTAAGAAGAACTACTGTAAGAATTTACAACTTTTTGCTGCTAGATAACCCAGTGTTACGGTAAATTTCTTTTATTTTCACTAATTGATATTTCTTCTATTTCTAAATGGAAAAATAGACCTAGAGTGGCTTCTTTAATCCACCACCAATCTAAATCGAATAATGTTTGACCGTCGAACCGCAAACGGGTAGCCGCAAACCGCGGTTAGAGTTTCGCGGTAAACTCGGATCTAAAACTCTCTAATAAGATGTGGGTGCTAGGCTGATTGGCGTGTTCCTTATATGGTCTCACAAGGGCCATTTAGGTTGCTTCTTTCACTCTCTCATCAGGCCAATAGACCTTTTTACTGATACGGCGACCATATTGAATTAATTCGATTTAAGGAGTATTATAGGATGCCCAGGGGGCATGAGCACATTTCGTTTGTATTTTTGGGCATCCTATAATACTCCTTAAATCGAATTAATTCAATATGGCTGCCGTATCGGTAAAAAGGTCTATTGTTCAGGTTTTGCAACAGAAATCCATGTTTTGGTTATTTTCCTTCATAACTTGGTTATGTGTGAGCCTCAGTAGAGGTTAGTGAACACCTCCACGCCCTGATAAGGGTGGTGGACCAATGAATCTAGTACCTTTTCCACTAGATCCTATTGTGACAGAATGAATACGATTACTTTCTGTTGTTCTCAGAAAGTAATACTTACTGAGGGATTAAATTTTCGAGTGCACTTCTGGGTTTAGAGTTCTTTATTATAGTTATATATACTTAGGTACTGTCTTTTTCAACAGGGGTGATTCCAAAGTCTGTCCGACCCCAGCACATAAAGGACAACTTGAGTGTTAACGACTTTCAACTCTCTGCAAAAGACATGGCCATCTTAAATCACATGAACACAAACACTCGGTTTTGCTGGGATCCAACGGCAGTCGCGTGAAATTGTCTACACGGAAAATTTTGGCAAATTTGTTAACGTTGAATAAACAAGAAAAGAAATTTGCACGCAAGTAATGTCCTCTTCCCTTGATGCTCGTTCCCCGTGCTGTGCGTTAACCAAGTTATTGGCTGCGTTGCCTGTGCACGCAGGAGTGCCACAACAAGTGAAGCCTGAGATTTAATGCAATGAACTCTGATTTAGGACGATGTTTGTTGTTCCTTTTTGATAAAATGGCACGCGCTAAATTAGTCGGATGAACAAGGGACGTGGTTCACTTCCTCTGATCATTTCCATCTGTTCCTCAATAGTCCGCAATACAAACGGCGCTTTCTGGGCGGACCGGGCTCAACGTAGTCCACAGAAAAAATATTTCTACTGCCATAGTTGGCAAATCCCCTCCTCACACCGAAATGGTCAATTCCACGCCCGCATTTGAACTCTGTTGTGCACAAACATCCACGTCATGCATTCTCTCAACGACAAACCGCTGAAATTACCAGACAAGCTAATAAATAATAAAAAAATATATTTATATAGCGCCTATACTTTTCAGTGCTAAGTGAGGGTTCTGAATGGGTAAAATAATAAAAAAAATAAAAGACTGACATGATCTTATGTGTATACTTAGGTCTACTGGTACAGAATATTATTGCTTTTATATCAAAAAGTAAGCACATTTGAGCAATTTTGTCAAATAATATAGTCGAAGATCATGAAAGGAGAGAAATCCCATTCCCATTTTAGAAATTGTTAACCCCTTTTCCTAGTGGTTAAATCCCAGCCCTAGTGTAGTAAATCCCATTTTCCCAGAACATAAAAGGGCAAATCTTAGTTCCCATTTTACCCCTTCAGAACCCTCTTCTTTGTTTTCACTGAATGGCATGGTTACTCCTCATCTCGCCATGTTATCTCAACGACGTTTCCTAGACAACTCTCTGAGATCACACAGACTTTCTTTGAGGCCGGACTGACTCACGACACAGCTTTAGTCAGCTGTTTAGTGTTGGAAGAACTACAGAGTTAGAATATTTTTGGTTGTAGGTAAACCAATCGCAGTAATAAAATATTATTATTTAGGAGAGAAGACAAGATGAGGTTGGTTATTGTAGTGAATTTGTCTGCATTTAATACACATCACTGATAGTCAGATTTGTATTCTCATGGTTCAAATAAGAAGCTGTGAGGCCTTATGCAATAGGCTTGATTAACGCCGCTCTCTCGTGTCTGATCTTGCTTCTTTCCGAGAAGAGGGAGAGGGAGGGAGGAGAGGAAGGGTGCTTATTTCTTGAACAGTGGCTGTCAAACCAGCCTAGCTTCATATTTATACAGTTATCAATGCGAACAAGTCACCTGACAGGCATCTCTTTCCCATGCAGGTAACCAGATAGTCATAATTTCGACCCCTGCTGGGAAAACTCGGATTTGTCTGTGCTTCTCCCAGATGGTATCTATTTGCTTTCTGAAGCTCTTGCAAAAATCAAGATATTCGAACCTAACCTAACCAACAATACCGCGACAATCTCGTTGCCACTGTCCTCTCTCTCGTAGGAATTATGCGACAACAATATGATAGTGACGTCACTTACCAAGTGTGTTTGCCGTTGTATTGTTGGAGGTGAAATTCGTTCTCCGATGAAACATTGTCCAGGCTGTCTTCAAAATTTGCTTCAACCAATCAGAAGTACTGCCCAGATCTGGATAGTTACGAAAAACAAAAATCCATCCCCGGTGGGAGTCGAAGTAGCTCTCAGTACGGGGTGTACTTGGGGTGTACGCGTGCAAGTTGATAGAGTGAAATACCTTGTACCAAATTCAGGGTTCGTACAGAGTCATAAGTGAAGGTACCTTCTCGTTATTGGTATTAATTTAGTAACGAAGCGTTAAGTCAAGTGCTAATAGTTTTGCCAGTTATGTTTTTTTTTGTAAGGTGAGATAACCATGGCTTATGCTAATCATCAAGCACTCAAGTGCTTAAAAGCTGCAAAAAGAGGTCGTGAAATTCCAAAAAAAAAGTTAAAATACGATAAAATCACCCTGAACTCCATGAAAAGCACAGGCCGTACACGCCCGTCTTTACGAGGCTTGTGTGTCAATATTTAAGATGCGTCCTGCCAGCTGCTTGAGCTTGTTACCAGTCGACGGATCCGGAGAAGATTATTAACAATTTGGCTCACAGGAACAGAACCTATTTTTTTTGGCTTTAAAAATATTTGCGATTAGTGCGCTAAGCGTGCTCGTTTGCTTAACTGCCACACTTAGCGTGTCAAAAAGCATGCTACAAGAAATAAAGGTTTCAGCGCAGCATAGTTAATTGAGTGGAATGGTTATGAAACCCGTCAGACTCCTTTGTTATATGTTTTTGTGGACCTGAAAGTGCACAACGTTCAAAAGAATTCCTATCATTTTGATTGTATTGACCAATAAAAACGTTGCATTAATATATTTCGTAACAATTTGCCAACAGAAAACAAAGGATTGTGCACTTTCACGGTGCTTTGAACATAAACTGCAGCACTGTTGTTTTTATCATTGATGTTTGCCGCTTTTCATAACCAGTCTCCTCTAATAACTATGAGCGCAGCGAACACTAGTTTGCGAACACGTTTTTCTCTGTTCGAACAATTTTAATATGTAAAACTATGCATTTAGTTAGACACGCTGATCTTCTTGTGACTGTGCTATTACAAGAAAAAAACTTTTAAAATATCTTGCAACTGGTAAAAAAAAAAAGTAAACAGGTCTCTGTATCTTTTGCATCCTGTATTATGTGGATGTATATTTATCACGTCCGCTTAAGTTTTTTAGGGACTTTTTCAACGGGACGACAACGAGAACGTCGCTTAAAAAGTGAATTTGCGTTCTTTCAGTCTTTAAAGCGATCATTCCTACCCACTTACTTTGTCGAATATAGGCGAACCCTCCTGAAGCTAAATTTCAAATGACCATATCCAAGCTCAGAAAGAGAAATAAAATTTCGTCGTTGCTTGTTTACGTCCTCCATAAACGCGAAATAAGGCATTTTCACGTCCTAGTCGTGCAAAAACGGGAAAGAAATGTACAAAAAAGTGGGAAGTTGTTGTTTTGCTTATTAAACCTTTTTTTTTTTACCTTCTCGTTGCCGCCCGCGTCGTTGGATCTTAAAGTCTCTAATGTCCTTTGAAACGCCACGATTTCCCCCCGTGACATCATGTGAAAACTGCTCTATAGACCTTTTTAGCTTGTCTGTTTTGTTATCCCATTTCAGAGTACGTGATGCCCATGCTCTTAAGGGAATTTGCCTTTTGTCTTTTCTTCAATATCCTTCCCACAGTCCGCGTTACGGATTTCGTGCCGCCAGAGCTCCCGTGAGCGAGTGTTCAACCTATCCAGGGTAAATACCCTGGCAAAAAGCTAACCCTAATAAAGCTTCAAAGGGGGCTTTTTCTTCCCTCGTTCCCACCTTGTTAAAAGGTGTGTTCACACAGTTGAGGTCAATAATCACCTTACTTTAGCAACGTTGCACATCATAATATGCTCTTTAAGTGTGGTGTTTCCACTTGTTCCCAGCTTAACCTGCATGAGAAAACAGCCGACATTTGGCGACGCCACCACTGGCTTCCCCGCGTAATGACGTCTGAGAAACGAGCGCGGAAATTCCACACTGATGACGTGTCACTACCCAGATCTGGGTAGTACTTTTGATTGGTTAAAAATTTGCCTCAACTAATCAGAGGTTCTACCCAGATCAGGATAGTGACGAAAATAAAAATCCATCCGCGATGGGACCCGAAGTATCTCTTATTACGGGGGTGTACAAGCTTGTACATCTGCAACTAACTTCATGGACTGAAATACCTTGACAAAACGTAGGGTTTGTAAAAAGTCTTGAAATTTGTTCAGCAATTTTCCAGAACCTAAAAAAAGTCTGGAAAATGGAGATAAAGTCAGGAAAAATAGTAGAAATTCTTGAATTTTTCTTTTTTTTTTTTGCAAAGCTACAGTAACTAGTGCTTTATAGGTGAATTTTTTTCGTTTTGGTGAAATGGGGTTGACAGACCTGCGCGGCTCCTGCTGTGTGACCGTTGTGTTGTTATAAGCCTTTACAGTTTTGCTTTAACAAGCATGTCTTTAAGCGACTTTCCTTTTCTATAAGAGATCAAGGGAGGTTCCTTGAATATCTCTCTGAGTAGTGGCTGGTTTTCTATTAAATGCCATTTTTCCATTAGTATGTTTTTCAAACCTGGTAATGACGGTTGAAATTGCGTGACAAAGGGTAAAAGTATTTTTTGCGCTTTCTGTTTTTGTGTCAGAGCTGTCGCTCTATCTGCATATTTAACTTCTGAGAGGATCTTTTCTACCATACTCTCTGGGTAGCCTCTCGAGATAAGGCGTGTTTTAAAGTTTTTAATATTCTTGTCAAATATGACTTTAGAAGAGTTAGTTCTTAGAAGTCTAAGAGCCTCTCCTTTGACAAAACCTTTTTAACGCCTGGTGGGTGGCAGCTGTTAAAGTTAGTGTACTGAAACGTTTCAGTAGATTTAAAATGTGTGCGCGCGTCGAGAATTCTTTCTTTCTCAAATCTCTCTCCCTTATAGACTGTCGTGTCCAAGAATGTGGTTTCAATTTGTGATATTTCAGCAGTGAACTTGATTGTAGGATGAAAAGAATTGGCTTGCTCAATGAAAAAGATCTATATCTTCTTTGTTTGTGTCCCACAAAGAGAATATGTCGTCAATAAACCTTTTCCACGTTAGTGGTTTCCTTCTGCTTTGTTTTAAGATCTCCTTTTCTATTGTTGCCATAAAAATGTTGGCAAAAGCTACTGCCATTTTCGTGCCCATAGCAGTTCCGTGAGTCTGGAGATAGTCTTTCCCATTGAAATGGAAAGAGTTCTCTTTAAGGATAAGACTGAGCATTTCTTTAAGCAGGTGTGTAGCTATAGGAGGGTTTTTGTCATGAAATTTTTCGTATGCGTTGCATACTATAGTAATTCCTTCCTCCTGTGGGATATTCGTGTAAAGGCTGGTGACATCCATTGAGACTAAGAAAGCGTTACTAGGCACCCTAGTGTTTTCGATAAATCTTATAAAATGTGTCGTATCTTTAAGATACGAGTCTTGTATTTGTGCTATTGGCTGAAGTAGCTTGTCTACAAATGATGAGAGGCGTTCTGTGGGGCCATCGCACCCCGAAATGATAGGTCTTCCAACTAAAGTCGGTTTGTGTATTTTTGTGAGAGTGTAGAATACTGGAATTCGTGGCGGATCTGGTGTCTGGTTAAACCATTTTACTGTCATTTCGTCAATGAAACCTTCGTTATGTAGAGTGTTAATGAGGTGTTTAACTCTCTGGGATGTGTCCTTAACCATTGGTTTTTCCAAAGGTTGATAGTTGTTTCTATCATCCAACTGTTTTTGTCCCTCATTTATTTTGTTCTCTCTTTTCATTATGACGGTTGTTGTGCCTTTATCTGCTTTCTTAAGGATTATTTCTTTGTTTTGAATAAGTTCACGGAGCGCTCGGCGCTCCCCAGGCGGCAGATTGTTTTTAGGTTTATTTAGTGGCACTTCTGTTAGCCGTAGTTTGACTTCCTCTAAATAGGATTCTAGAGCAACTGACCGTTGAACTGGGGGAATCCAACTAGACTTCACATGGAAGGGATGTGGTACAGTATCTTTGCCATGATAAATGTATTTGAGGCGCATCCTTCTGGCAAATTGGTTAAAGTCTGAAATTAGTTGGCTCCTTATCTGGTTTTCTTTCATGACAGGAGTTGGAATGAATTTCAAACCCCGAGAGAGTAAATTGATCTGCTCTGTTGTTAGTTCTGTGTCTGAGAGGTTCTTAATGTGTTTTTTGCGTGTCTCTATGGCTTCGTTATATAGCTTAATGTGTTTGACATTTTTCCGCTTTCTTCTCCTTTTTTTTCTTTCAGTGAGTGTTTTACTATTTATCCCTTCTCTTTTCCTTTGTTAGAAACAGAGAGAACACTGGGATACGATTCACTTTG